AACATGTCATCGTATCCCGATTGCGTAGATTGATACTCATGCTGTTGATCACTGGATTGTCTGGTCCAGACTCGATTATTTACAGACCGCCGCCATATAACTGGAATATTACTGAGTGCGGCGTTAAATAACAACACAACCAACCAATCTTAATATTCACCAACCTTGAAGTAAAAACAATTTTTTTGACACCAAAAGGTCATTTCACAGTTTGTGTTTGAAACATTTCAACGTGGTTTTCAACGACCTTTAAATCCTCGCTATGATCAACAAAGCATTGTCATCAAAGTCCAATGGAGACTCGACCTTTCCTTTGGAACACGACCGAAGTAGTCTTTCTTTGTGTGAGTGTTTCATTCACTGGGCTGCCCATGTGTAGGCAGTGGCAAGGTGGATGGTATCGGGTTTGACTGATCCCCTTGGCAGTAGAATACACGACATATACAGGCATGGAGGGACGGCGGAATGTCGGATCACACTGTCGTGGATAACAGGATAACAATGTTGCGAGAACAAAAGTTCACATTATCTCTTTTGTGTAATATCTCCATGACCAATTTTCTCTTGCATTTAAAGGAATTTGAGCCGCGTGATTCAGACATTACGATTGCTGACAGAAGTTTCTTTTAATTATCTTACTTTTAATTGGCTCGTGTACGCCCAACGTTTTGTCCCCGTGTGGCGCAGTATGGGCAGCATTTATATTTTCTGCGTTTCTCATCGCACGACCGACCCTTCTAATTTAATGGAGGAACCACCACCTCCCCCCACACCCCCTTTTTTTCATTCCAACATTGTCGACTCTAACCTAAAACGTACAGCCTCGTCATATAGAATGGGGGTCCACCCATTTTGTTCTGGGGAGAAAGGGGGAGTCAGCAATTTTGTACATAAATTTTTAAAAATTATGCTTAAAAAATATTGGAAGGGGGAAGGGAGTCATTGATTTTGTACATGACATGCAGGGGGGTCACTTACTTTGTACATACATTTTAAGGTGTGTGTGTGTGTGTGTGTGTGTGTGTGTGTGTGTGTGTGTGTGTGTGTGTGATTCACATTTTACATGCTTCTCCATAAAAATCATCCTCACCCCCTCTGGCCATAAATTATGAACGGTCCCTTAATCAGTCGCTGCCACAAGTCCAAAGAACGCAAGACATTGTAATAAGATTTACAATGAATGAAAATCAAGTACATTTTTCAGATAATTTTGTCTTTATTAAAAACATTTAAGACCGACCCATGTTCAGAATTTGGTCGCTACGTGAAATACATAAAAAACCCCATGATGCCCTATTTGGGTCGAAATGGTTACCGTTACTTTGAGCGACTGTGAAGCACGTGCTGCACGAAATTCACTTTATTGAAACAGGTAACGGCACACTGGAACGGCGGAAAGTATGCGAGTTACACCTATATATAGCCTCTCTTAAATACCAGAAAATATTTTATATAATAATCTTGCGTACACGCAGCTATTTATGGTGGCAGAGAAGGGACATGGGACGGGTGTGAGTATGTGTGCGTGCGCGCCTGCCGACACGTAGCTGTGTCTTTGTGGGATGCACTGTTTGCCCTTAACCCTGAAAAGCTGCAGGCCCTAAGGACCCAGAACCATAAAAAGTTGTCGGTTCTGATCAGAATGTGTAGGCCCTATACTCTAAAATGGAAATAATACTTTTTCTTATTGGGGATGTAAATGTCGGCCATAAGGACCTGCAGAAAACAAAAGCTGTGGCCCCGCGAGGTTTCCAGTCAGTCTTGGCCTGAGGACCAACGTTAATTTCGAACGCTGGTGGGATGTGTGTTTGATGACTCACTGTCTGTCTATATGTGTCCACCTGACGCCGAATACGTGCTCGTCATATTTAGGAATGACATGTCTATGAAGAATGTATATAAAGCAGACAAATGTTACAGATAGATTAGTAAACATGTTGACCTTAAACTATATAAGACTTCTGATAGCTTCATTAACCCTGAGACAGTAGGAATGGAATGCTTTGTACATTGTTATAAAAATTAATTTCTTATAACATCTTTCGGTCGAACTGGCTTAAAAGAATTAATTGAATGCTAACATGCTTGTAAAACAGTGTGGTTGTTAAGAATTCTGTATTCTGACGTCAGTTATGTAGATAGCTACTACATAATACATATCCAGACAGACGGACACCAAATACACACACGCATTGATACAGACTCTCTCTCCGGTACTTCTAAAATTAATAACTGTTTTTGTTTGAAAAATTGTATTGCCACAATATGAGAGAGAGAGAGAGAGAGAGAGAGAGAGAGAGAGAGAGAGAGAGAGAGAGAGAGAGAGAGAGAGAGAGAGAGAGAGAGAGAGAGAGAGAGAGAGAGAGAGAGAGAGAGAGAGAGAGAGAGAGAGAGAGAGAGAGAGAGAGAGAGAGAGAGAGAGAGAGAGAGAGAGAGAGAGAGAGAGAGAGAGAGAGAGAGAGAGAGAGAGGCTGTTCCAACATCAACACATCGCATTCGACTTCTGATCATCTGCCCTAAGCGATTTGGTGACTCAGCGGAGCGATTCTGCCCTAAGCCATATGCATGCACCAATTACCTTGAGTGACTGCGCAGTGTCTACCCTGTCACAAGTGAAGATAGCCAAACAATGGCAAACACTTCTTCGCCTTATCTTCATATAAACGTAAACTAATCAGACAAGCCCAAAGGGTTTCTTTCAGTTTTGTCCTCAGGAGAACTGCTGTTGCATTACATGTAAAAACGAAAGGAAGACGGCTTCCTTTTTCTGTGTTCCACAAACTTTCTGTGTGAACTAAAAACCACCATCTTGACTTCAACAAATGACCTTGACACATAACAGGACAAGACTGAGTTGGCAGGACACCAGAAATAGGCTTCACACATTGTACCCATGTGCGGAATCGAATCTTTGGCATAATGAACGCTTTAACCACTAGGCTACCCCACCGCCCCTTACAGGACATGAATCTCTGAATACAAATGTTTGTTTTCTCAGTGATTAATGCCACCTACCCCTCAGTATAGCCAAATGATTTACAAAACCACCTGGGATGACCTTCAACAGATGTCTGCCAACTCTTATGCCCCCTTAGGTACATGTCTCATTTGGTCAAATTCCCCTAAAAAACAATGAAATTAGGGACCGTTCATCATTTATGGCCAGGGGTGTGTGAGATATGATGATTTCTATGGAAAAGCATGTACAATGTGAATGCCCCCCAAATTTATGTACAAAGTGACCCCTGCATGTCATGTAAAATAATCAATGACCCCTCCAATATTTTGCAAGCATAATTTTTAAATATTAATATGTAAAAAAACGTACAAAAATGATGGGGACACACACACACCCAACAAAATGGGTCAGTCGGGCTCTGTCTGGTTTGCTGACCAGGTCAGGATGACATGGGTTGGTGCTACCAATATCAATCACTGGCTTGTTTGGCCCAAAGTAAGTTATTTTCAGGCTTCTGTCATGATTATTGCTGAATGTCTAGAGTACTGGCAGTGGAAAACAACACTTAACAACACAATTCTAACATTAGATTACATAATTATAGTTACAATGCTTGTTTGAATTGACCTTCAGTCTTTGTCACTATCTCAACAGTCCTGTATAAATAAGTTGATAATTTTGTGTATGAATTCCAGTGGCGGGTTCAGAAACACCCCACCCCACCCCACCCCGAAAATGACTTAAGATCACATTGAAGATTTTATTTTTTTTGCGTTTCCTTTCAAAATTCCTGGATCCGCCCATGAGTTCTGTAACATTGTTACCATGTATAATACATTTTCGGAGTGAAAATTAATCTGAAACACTATTCTTAGGGATTATTTTGATCAAAATAACATTTATTTCACAATTGCAGTCTTAACAATGCATTCCATGCAATAACATAAAACAAAGCCTAAAAGCCTCTGTTGGCCAGTGCATCACAAGTTTTAACAAGCCCAATACACTAGTTGCAACAGAATTGGAAATTCAGAATTCATTTTGTGAAAAATCACTGACATTTCCTGCAGATACTGGGTCAAGTATCAGTCACTGAGCAGGCTCAGACAAATCACTTTTTCTACATTCCATACCAAATACGCAAATACGCAAAAGTTGGGAAAGTCCTTACCCTGAGAAAACTGTCATACCTATGAAAATGCAGACTACTAGATGCATCATGGAGTAGTTTCTGGTTAATGTACATCATGAAAACAATGTCTGTAACACAATGAAACATGCCACTGGTCACAAATGTGAAACTGATAACAGTCTTGGTATAATACAAAGTGTGCTCAAAGTGATTGCTGTGCTTTGACTTTTGAATGCATGTTGGGCAGCACATGAATTCTTAAGCTCTAAGCAGCTGTTAGTCTGATGCATGCTAAAGACACTGACCAGTCAGTCAGTATATACTGTAAATCATGAAATTAATGCGAGCATTTTATTAATGCAAAAAATGCGTCTGTGCTCTTCTCGCATTATCATAATGACGCATTTCAGCCTGACCATGTCTACTTAATAAAAGGCAGAAATCATAAATCTGTTGACACTACACATTACACCAATACAGGTCACTTCCTCATTACAGGTATCTCAAGCCACATGTAACTATCACTTGTTACAATCACTGGTCATTGTTTAAAGTCACTCAAGCACATCAGCCAGACCAGACATTCTCCAGCCACGTGTTTGTTGTACCTTGGTAGATGACTAGTGTCTTTCAAGTCGGATTACGTTTATACATGTTGTCATAAAACAAGTAGTAGCTAGCAATCACGTGATCAGACTTAGCAGCGTAATCAAAACATCGCCAGCTCATTTCCATTCATTGCTTTACAAGATCAATTCATTTTATCATCAACACAGTTTCTGAGCTCGTATTAATTTCGTGACGCATTTTAGACTAGACCCTCGCACTCGCATTAAATTCGTGACGCATTAATTTCATGATTTACAGTATATCTAAATGTGAATTGTGAAAAAAGAAACAAAAGCAACATACCATACTTTGTCAATTTATTGATATACATGTAAACAAATCTGTATCAATGGCCTATATACAAATAGAATATTTCCCAGTGATTGCACCTAAATATCACAAAACTAACTGTTAACCATTAGCCCCAATCTTTCAGCTGTAAAGATACCAATTCTGGTTGAAATAAAGCATCCATGACAAAGGTGGTGACAATCATGAAACCAGTGTCAATGCACCAGGTACCTACCTACCTACCTTACTGTTACACAGCATACATTCAGTAGCAAATCATTTGCTTCAGAAACTTGGACAGTATAACAGAACACATCACATCATGTTTTCAGTATTTCTTAGAATTAACAAATCCTTCACAAACACTAAAAGCAGTATAAAAAACATCTATGTGTCTCCACGTACAATATACCCAGGATAGAGCTATCTTGGCTCCATCTTTCAGGATATTGTAACGACCAAAAATATACAACATGAGATGTTAATATTTGTAATTGCTTTCTGTAGAAAGAAATGCAAGATGCACATGCATCAGCATTCAGGCAAACTTTTATAGAGAAAAAATAGTCTCCCCCCTGGAAAATCACAAAGTATGACAAGAACATGGTAATCTGCTTGTGATGGAAACTACAAAGCTTGGCAATGCAACACATTGGCTGGAGTCACCTTAAGCAGGGTTAAGACTACTTAGTCTACTATATTGTTAGGTCTAAGACTACTCTTGGACACTCTCACATCGAGGGGGAAAGTGTGGAAATATACACTGATATGTGTAACTCCTTGAGAGCAATGAAGATTGAAGACTTTCACTCCTGTTCTTATACTAACATTTAGAACTTGGCACATATTTTATAGTTGTAACATCATCCAAATCAATTGCAGATTTGTTCTAAGCTTACAGTTACCTTTTAGAGGATGAAAGAGGCTGTATTTAATAAATGCATCACATCTTTTGTATGAACTGGATGTCATGGAGATACCAATAAGATACTTCTTTCAGTTGTAGCACAACCAGAGCTAAGACGGACACCAAACATACGAGAAAGCAACATCAGTATTGATACCAATAACATCCAAAGAATGTCATCTGACTGTCTAAGGAATTGAAACAGTTATTCCATTCATTCTAAGCAGTTTTCAAAGACGACAATTATTAAATAGGCTAAAATCATATTGTCATCCAGGCTTCCCACATCTACCCATTCCAAAAGATTTTACAGTATTTTTATTATAGTGCCGAACCACTCATCATGATCACATCCACTGATTACTGATAATATGTTGAAAACAAATTAACCCACAGTTAATACTTTCAAACCACAACATGACATGCAAATGTGAAAATATCAGAACGGATTCATATGTTCATCAAAGGATGCTCATCAGAATACCTAAATATCCAGTGTCACATACATCCCACCATGAGGTCTTGCAGTTCTATGAAACACTTGGCTTCAGATGCCGCTACCAAGAAATACCCTCCTTTACTGCACCGGAACCAACATTTCTGATGTTTGATCCATCATTTTCAAAGGTAACTGGCCAATTGACCAAAACATATTGAATTTGATCATATTTATTTTCAAGCTGATGAAAGTACCGGTACCCAATATTATTCATCTGAACAGAAACCATTCAGAACCAGAATTAAAGCACCCTGCAGCTTCATGACTTGCGCTTCAACCAGCATGGTTAGATGTGCTGTGCACTAGGTCACTGTCCTGTACCATATTGATACATGTGTACCATTACAGAACTATTGATCAAGGACATGAAAACCATCAAAAACACATATTATGAATATATTATTCCATAACACAATTTTACCCCCATGGTTTGAAACAACTCCAACATGATACAACTTCCTTCACAATATAGCATTTAATATTACTCACTGGTGGTGAAAAGAACCCATAAAACATTTCAAATGACCATGTGCATATTCCCACATTCTGTACAGAGCTCCATCAAAAATATTCTTCATTTAATAGGGATAGAAGCTTAATGTTAACAGTGAACATCTTGGTGTCAATTTTATACCTCTCAAAAACTTGAGATAAACTTATTATCATAACATATCACTTGTGTATGACAATGGCTACTGCCTCTCAAGTCAAGTGAAGTCTTGTATGAATCAAACATAACAAAGTAATGTACACAATAAAATAGGCAAAACCAAAACAAAATGCTATAAGGAAATGAGCTGTTCAAGAAACTCTGTACACTTTCTATATACTTACAACTGATGAAGTCTATCACCAACTCTGTGTCAGATCTCCACAGTCTGGCATCGCTGGATAAATTCATACGGTAACTACATTATCACAACTAGAACCAGAACAATAAGAAATCAAAATCCCATGAAATGCCATGTCACAGAATGGTAAATACTGTCAATATCTGTAGGAAGGTATGCATGAAAGAAAGAAGTATTGGATGTTCCTACAACAGATTATAAGACATTTGTAGACTTCTCTCCTCAAAATATCAAGGATGGATTTATGTACATAAATTCTTTAATAATCACAAGCTCATTTTGGTATTTGAAAAGGGAAATATGTTCAATATGTTAAAAGAGATAGTTCCGATCATGCTGATGATCTGAAAATATTGGAATGTCTAGTTCTAAGAAAATAGTTGAATTAAGAACCAATCACCCAGACTACTTCTCTTTACTATTTGTATATATATTAGTAGTGGATTTCGTTAATGTGCTATGCTTTGCATTAGTGTCATTTCAGCTAAAACATATTCAGTTTAATTGCATGGAAGATTGTGACAGGTTGTGTTAACATGGCTAATGTTAAGATCAAAGTGTGCATATAATTGGGGTTAACATCTATACATGCAGGCATGATGCTGGTGTGTGGTATATGTGCATGTACGAGATGGTGATGTGTGTGAAGATGTATGTAAGTGTGGAATATAATGTGTGATGTGGGTGCATGTACATGTATGATAGGGATGTGAATGGATACTGATTGTATGTGTGTGTAGGTGTGTGATGGTGAGAGGTTTGACCCTTGAGTGTAAACTGATGCACATGATAGTGACATGTATGTCAGTGGGTGTAAAAGTGTGCAGTGTTAATGATAATGATTTCTTTTGAAACACACTGACATACACGTCCCTTTGCACTGATGACAACACACATGATATAGGATATTGTGTGCATACCTTTTCATCACTTCTTACATAGAACTGGCATCCAGAGACAGATAAACACACATATCACACACTGTCCAGGAGAATACCTCGTGTATGTGGCCCTTTTGTTTAAGTTTATGGATATCCCAGCCTACCTGTGTTTGAAACTAAGCTGTAAATTCAGAGGGTTCTTGTCACATATGTGAAGAGTTTAGGGGTCCTTTGATTCACATTCAACAGAACTCCTGGACCCCTGTTAAATTCAACCCTGTTACAACAATTTGAATATCTGGGAGGCTGTTAAACATCTATACAGGAACAATTTTCGGGTAAATTTCTACCATCTTATGCCATCAAATATATGTGCAGATATTCAAAAAGCGCAGTTACCATGCCTGAATACTGGTAACAATGGATAGAGTCTGATAACCCAGATGCGCAGAGTTGAGGATCTAGAATACCTCACAAAGTAGGACAGGATCTGCTGGCAGGAAAGGAATACATGTGAACATGGTGGATGTAATGATACAGAACAATGAAGTATGGCTATATACAAAGGACCGATGGACAGTCATATCCCCTAAATCATCCAGCACAAACTGTGGGACTGTCCAAATCAAGATGACATAATGATATCTGTTATACCGCCACCTTGATCAACAAAGAAGGTTATTGGCCCTCTGTTGGGTACATTAAGGACTATCTACTGTAACCCCAAACAGCATGAGATCAGTCAGAACTGACGTCATCCTGCGACATGCTGGTAAATTTAATGAAGTTAAAACGTCCCCAGTCATATACATATCCCAGTTTCATATTAATTTGGGCAGGATCTCCACTCTTGGATTCAGTAGCTAAGGGAACAGATCCTGCACTGTATTCAGAGGGATTTGTGTTTCCATAATATATCTCTGTCAAGCCTGAAATCACTGGTCAAAGTTTGAGGCTTAAACCATGAAACGCCCCTCACTTTCCACAAAGTCAAGTTCATGTGAAGGTAGAAAAGACACCAAATCCATTGAAAGCACAGAAGTAGCACAGGCTAGAATCACTTGCTGACAGCAGATATGACAGCCCACAAAAGCTCATTGGTTCCTTCCTTCATGCTCTCAGCATCAAAGTCCAGATCAAGCAGTTCTCGAACGCGTTTCATGGCCACTTCATAATCATCATCTGAAAGGGGAGCGAAGGCATTTTCCAAAACGTCTGAAGCATGAGCAAGATAAATGAGAGATAATACACGCTTGTCCATTCGATGGGCATCATTGGTCCAGCGACTGAGAACGGAATCTTGGACTCTCTTGATGAGCTTCTGCTTGACGGTTGAGTCGGTAAGTGGATGTGTGGTCATGTCAAATAGCAGGAAATTCTGTTTCTCAGTGGAACATACACCTTTCTCAACCAGGTTTTTGGCCAAACGCGCTCGTACATTCCTCAGTTGATAGCGCAGTTTCAGAGGATTCCAGGTTTCACCTGAAAAAAAAAGTGAAACAATGAGCCATGGAATTTATACAACATTTTACGCTCAAGCAATTCATCAAGTTTCTCTTGCAAGCCCGTTCACTAGCTCTCTATACCATAACTGCCCCCAGTAACTTTTCCCCACTTGGACTACAGTCTGTTTGGCTCAAAAGCGGACCGATGAATTGCAATCGAACTAGAAAACTAATAAACATAAAATACTCAATGAAACACTGATCATAATCAAAATGTCAGACCAACTCTGTGAGGTTTTTGCACAATTTATGTCCTAAAATTAAAAAAGTTGTTTAACAAACTATCATTAAAATATTGACACAGTTCACTATTTGTTACGAGGGAGGTGTGCAGAGAAAGGGACAGCCAGGAGTGTGAGAAAGGATGGAGATGGCACAGCACAGGTTAATGAATCAATAACTTTGTCGGCACTTGTGCACGTGCTTCTCTAAAACCTGGCTGTCCTTTTCTCTGATCTCCTCCCTCGTAACAAATAGTGAACTGTGTCAAAATTTTAATGATAGTTTGTTAAACAACTTTTTTAATTTTAGGACATAAATTCTGCAAAAACCTCACAGAGTTGGTCTGACGTTTCGATTATGATCAGTGTTTCATTGAGTATTTTATGTTTATTAGTTTTCTAGTTAGATTGCAATCATTAGTCCGCTTTTCAGACAAACGGACTATAGTTGACCAGTATGTTTACAAAGTGATCTCTGTCATGTACACTCTTCTCCAACCTAATTATTCTGTTTGTTAATTTGAATTCTTGTTTCATTTCAACTATCTTGTTTTTAGTTTTGTGAGAACACTAGCGAGGCTAATGAACGCATCACTCGCTGGGAAGGAACTTCCAAACTCATGGTCAAAGGGAGACAACTCTTACAACAAAGCTGTCTCTAAATATATGGCCTCATGATGGATGACTTCGTATCATGCATGGTGAAACTTTTCACAACTGGCAATCTAAACAAAAGGCTTGGATGTCACCATGCCCGAGTATCCTCTCAGACACATCGGTTTACAACTTAAGAAAACAGCGAATTGTTTTGTTTCTTGGTCTTCTTTTTGAAAATAGCACTCCATATTTGAAAAATGACCCTGCTTAATTTTTTCATGGCAATCCTGGGAAGTTGTACTTCTGCATCTAGAATCAACACTGAATGTTGATTAAGTGAGTACTCTTTCCATTAACAAAATATACATTCTTACAAGAATCAGAATACGGAGTTTATATATAGATATTTAAATTCACAGGCAATGTATGCACTGATTTTAAGACCAAAAAGTTTAGTCTAAAAAAAAGAGTTTTTGGTTTCATAGCTGTACAAATTCCTGACTACATTATATAATAATTTAGGGTTCAACATGTCCAGTGCTTAAATCATGCCATCAAATTGTACTTTCTTGTGTACTTTCTTGCATGCTTGGAATGTTTTCACAACAACTGCTGTGCATCCTGTCTGCTCTGAGTATGGTGTGAGGTTCATTAAAATATTTCTTTTCATAAACTTAATTATGTCAATGTTCTAATTTCAAGTTTGATGCCTTGTCATATTTTCATGATTATGTCCACACATGAGGAACTTATAATTTTTAAAGTTCAAGTGCATGACAATCTTGTTTGTAAACTGTCAATTTTACTTGTCATTCAGTCCACCTAGACAAAATTTGACATTATACCTCCTGTGATCTTTCTTTGCATGAAGACTTAGGACACCCTCTTAGAAGTTCGAGTACTTTTAACTTTCTAATCTGCCATCCGTGTTTAGGGTTGCGGATATATTAACCAAATTGTATTGGCTCTGATACAACACTGGCTTCAACTCCTGTTCTTGTGATTGACACAGAATCAGCTTCAGAGCATAAATCTTTGCTTGATTGGCATGGATGAATACACAACAGCTTTGGTATATTCAGAATGACCGTCTGGGGCTGCTAGTCATCCTTATGAAGAGATTTCACTTCCATAAATACTACAAGAGAAGTGGGGAAAGGACACTCCTGCCTTCCAGACACTGTACAATATTTTCCATGGTAGTTTAGTAACAACCTGTATGCACACAGTTATCGTCGTTTTTTCAAATGAGGTGAGGTGAAATTGGGTTTAACGTCGTGCTTGAGAATATTTCGCTCATATGACGACGTGCATGCGTGTGTATGTGTATGTGTATGCGGCTGCTTGTACTATCCCAGACTGAAGCTGGTTTTATAGTGCCAGCCCACTGAGATACCATGCCGCAGTGAAGCATGAATACCCCACTCAGACACATTATACTGACTCCAACCAACCAGTCCTTGATGTACCCATTAATGCCGAGCGTCAGGCAGGGACCAACAAGTACCATATTTTAACGTCTTTTGGTATGACGCAGTCGGGGATCAAACCCGCGACCTCCCGCTCTCCGGACGGACGCTCTAACCACTACAGCACGGAGGCGGTCTTTTTCAAATGAAGATGACTACTGAGCCTGAAACCCCTGGGAAAACATAAAATAACATACCACTTAGATATTCAATCCAGCTCTGGACAGTTTCTGCAGGTTGTGTTTCTTTGATGTGCTTGAGAGCTTCATCTAACAAGACATCTCCAGTAGGAGTGTCCGACTTGCAGATAACCTTGCGATTGAGTAGACTTCGCCTTCTCATTCCCGCCTTCTCCAGCTCCAAACGCCCACGTAGTGCAAGCTCTATCAAGATGCACCCTCGCAGACCAGATGATATACAGTCATTCCAGAAGGAGGTATAGCCCTGAAACAACAAATTCATAATAACTACACACCATAAATACACAAATGTTAAGCTTAGTCTTCAACATAAAGACCCATGTTAACACAAATATGTACGGATATTATGCCAAAACTAAACTTCAATTAATATGCATACCGATGCAGTATTTTTGGTGTCTTGTATATGTGATACATGTTGCTTCACCTTAGGCAAGTGAGTTTGTTCAAAATTGCCTCTGTTCACCCAGCAGAAAATGGGTACCCAGTGGGATAAGTCATGTGACTATTAACTTTCTAGTATCTCACAGGCAGCTTGGTTTTTCTGGGGTAATAATAATCAGATTGTCAGTGCTTTGAGCATTGCTCTTGTGTGGTGAAAGTCAGCGATATACAAATACTCTTATTATCATGTTTTACAGATTAAAAATGATATGCAGCAGAGAACGTTTGGGTGATCCGGGCACAGTGAGGGTGGTAAGGCTCATCATCAGCTCAGGGCCCTGGTTGTTATTAATACCATTATCTCTAGAAAATATAGGCAACTCAACACATCTTGTTGCCTGAGACCAGTGAGCTATCCATATGGGCATATGTAGTTAATACCAAACAATCCAACATATTGCTCCAAGCAACAAGATTAGTGTTATCCAATGGAGTATGGTTACCTGAGCTCTCAAGAACAAAATTTGTTTTAATTACACACCATCACAGACTGAGACACATTAAGAAATGTGTCCTTGTAATTGTTAACGTTTATTCATGACAAAATGTTCACATCAGCACCACTGCAACTGCAGATAGGCTAGCTCTACTGAATACGTCAATGGTGAACAGAGACAGGGAAAAGGTGGTCTAACAGAACTCTGACCATGCTGACAAACAAAATGAAGAAATGCAGATTCATGTTCTTAACATCATTAGCCCCCTGGATGTCAAGCCTTTTCCTCTGATGCCCATTATCATAAGATTATAATAGTGATGGTTGTGCACAAATTGTGTTTGTGTGGCACTGGATCCACCTACGGCTATATAGTTACACAGAAATGTAGAATATAGTGTTGGCAATTGGTTGAAATCTCACAATTGATAATTGGTTCATTACCAACGAGCAATCATCGAAAAGAATTGATTAGCGTCATTTTTCAGATTTTCTATTCAGGTTGTTATTGCAGAAAGGTATTACGTGGTTCTCTGTTGCTTTTTGTTTTATTTAGGAACTGCAAACTGCATTTGAAAATTTCCCATCCAATGTAAAATAATGCAACTTGCTACTTTAAAGTGATGACTAATATATCATGAACATAAAGTTCCTGCAGTCTTCAAGAAATATTCAGTCATGACTTTTCAGTAAGTGAAGTGAGTTTTCTAAGAATTAAACGTCTAACGGGATCGGGTGGTCAGGCTGACTTGGTTGACACATGTCATCGGTTCCCAATTGCACAGATTGATGCTCATGTTGTTGATCACTGAATTGTCTGGTCCAGACTTGATTATTTACAGACTGCTGCCATATAGCTGAAATATTGCCGAGTGCGGCGTAAAACTAAACTCACTCCCTCACTATTATGCGAGTAATCTTATCTTCAAATGAAATTCCTGAAAACTAAATGATACCATTTTAGTTGATGTCATAGCTTGTTTCATGTTGGAAAAAGATGACATTTGTACGTCGAATGGTAAATTTCCAGTCAAAGTATCATAATTTGACAGAACATAAAACTGACTGGTTTGGGGGCATGTCCTAAAAAATGCCTAATCTGCTGGTGCAGTTGTACAGCAATGTGTTGAGAAATGGTGTCAAACTGTCAATGGCTGATATTTCTGTTCATCAAGCCAAAATAGTATTGCATACACTTTTGAATGTGTGATCATGATTTTGATCATGGTGACCTTGACATTTTGAATATTTAACAGGATCAAAATAGTTAATGTCTGCAAGTGGCATTCTTGTTTGAGTACCTGCTGCTTTGCATGTACAGGATGCCCTTCAGGGCTTAATCGCTTGAAGTTAAACAGACAAATCCATCTTCCAAGTCCAGGGCTCCAGATAAGGGCTGTATCGGCGTATGTATGGATAACAAAATATGCACGGTAGGAAATAATTTAGAAAACGTAGCAGATACGCACCACAGCAATGGTGTACGGTCTTAGAATCATTTACACTCATTTTTAATTACAGATGTATTTATCTGAAAAATGGTTTTATTGTTTATTGAGCTGTTTACACAAGAGTAGCAATGTTGTGGTGCATACTAGTATATGAAATGAAACACAAGATTACTGATATTCCATTAAATTCCATTCAGTGCTCTAAATGTACTCTTAAAGGAGAATACGAACGAAAACATAACTTTTGATATATTGTAAAGGATATTCTAAAAGTCACATTCCGTGGTTAATATTGAACAAAAAGTTTGTAAAATAGCAATAAAAACACAAAAATGTACTCGTATTTCCGTCTATTACGGAAACACCCGACATTTAATGAGGAGAGGGGGTATCACGTGACATGACGTCATATGTGCCTGTTGCTGATGGCTTCCTCTTTGATTTTACCTCACAACTTAACAGTGTCCGTGGATTCTGAAGCAGTAAAAGATGTTCCTGATGTCATTTCTGAAATGGTTGTTAGACCGTATCAATACGATCCGATTTTACATCTTGCAAGACAATCTTCCACTGAAGATGAAGAAGAAGAATCAAGCGAAATGGAGGCACCACTTGAGGTCAAAATAAATTTAAAAATAGACCATATCATTAACAAGATTACTATTTGTCAGCAAAATGTCATACAGTTCCAGCCAGCAAACTCACCCCTATAAATATATGACCAGTCATTAAGAATTATTTAAAAAAATGTGATTACAGTTCATTTTGTGTCAAATGGGTGACTGTAGGGTGTCTGGGATTTAAAAACAAAATAATTATGCTTCAGACGAGGGAAAATAAAAATTACCTGCTTAAAAAATTACACTGGAATTATTTTGTTGAAAAAAATTAGGATCCTATAGTACTGTCGGAAATAGAAAAAAACTGTTTTAGGCTGTTACGCTGTATCCCTAAAATGTACACAATTGCAAATAGCATATGTCGAAATAACCCACTTCGGCCTAACTGGGCATTCAGTGGGATGCGTAATACGATATCCAGAAAAGCATGTTTACTCGTAAAATCGGGCAAAAACTTAGGAAAAATATGAATAGCTGCTGCAAACAATAGATCAGACTATAGATGACAATTAGGTCGCTCAGCCAGGTATGACGACGGACCGTTGACTCACCTGGCATGAAATGCCATCTCAAAGATATTTTGTGCTTTTTCATGTGTGTTGACTATGTCTCATCTACTGATTAACATCTTACGTGTCTTTCTTTCATAAAGTTTATGTTGAGATATGTAAGAGAGTATGATCCGAAAACCATAGAAACGCATCGTAGTATATAGGTGGCATGACCACCCGAAGATCGACAGGACTGGATATTATTTGTTAATTGTTATGACGTGCCGTGTACCTCCCCAGTATAATTGCCCTAAAGGATTATCTTATCTTAGCTGATATCTCTATCCCCAAGCCCGACCCCAGGTTTTGCTTTTGAGACGGCCCCTCCTATCTGTTTCTTTTTATAGTGACAGTGAGACTGCATGGTAGCTACATCCTTAATAGTTTCGGCATAAAAGTTATTATTTTTTACGTCAGCTATCGTTTATAATGAATCTACGTCTAATTTCAAATTCGGCATTTAAAAAGTGTCCTTTGTAATACAATATCGTCGCACACTAATTTGCATAAAGCCATGGTCTGTTCCAAATGAGTCTTTTTTACTTAGAAAAAAACGCATTGCTCATTTCTGCACTAATTTCCCTTCAGTAAAGTCCCTTTTCTCCTTTTCCTATCTCTCTACCACTGAGACTGTAGTTAGGCCGAACTCAGTTTAACAGATATTTCACACTTTCATATATCAACTACATAAATTGTAGATATAAATGAGAAAATACAGTTTTTTTCTATTTCCGACAGTACTATAGTTCTGATTAATAAAGTATGAAGTCAGAGCTAATATTCGCGACGCAGCAGATAAGTTATTCCCCGAAAACTGGGGAATTATAAAGTACAAGTCAGGACAACTTATGTTTCCCCATTGTTCGGTTATGGAAACAGTTATTGTACTCGGTCATAGCCTTAGAATGACATCTTGTCAGCCAATGAGAATACAGAACAACTTTCACGGCACACTACTGATAAATAGCGAGTCTGATGCCAATGTGCGTAATTGGACAAAATGGAAAACAATGAAAGCAACAAGCACTTCATGATTTGCCGTTGTATTCGGCAATGTTTGAGTAGACTGCATCATTTAGGGCTCTAAACCGAAAAGAATGTTATAGCGAAACATTTTCAAGCTCATGTGAAATCTCTTACTGATTTTGATAATATATATCTCATGTGTACCAGTAGAACTGCCCCAGCTACAAAATGCCCCAGCAAATTTGGTCATTCATTCTAATTTGTTCCAATTTATTAATAATGATTGAATATATGCTGTAAATGCATAGTTTTTGTCAACCTGTTATGATATTATGTTCTTTATATAAAAGTTATTAGGAAGTAATATTTCTGATAAAATGTTTCATTAGTAAACTCATAACTATGTACATACTTATATATGAAGAACATACCTGGTAATATCAAAGTTGACAAAACTATGCATTTATGGCCTATATTTATTCATTTTAAATAAATTGGGGCATTTTGACTACCCCATTGGGGCAATTTGACCAAATTTGCTGGGGCATTTTGTAGCGGGGGCAATTCGACTGGCAATCGGACGTGATTTAATTTATGTTAAAAATACCACTGACAGTAACTTGTTACAGGGAATGATGGAGTATAAATGAATCTCGTGGGTATTTTTTCCTTCTTCAGCCTAGCTTGGGGATTTCCATACCCCATGCGTGCATGTCTCTTTCATATGCGTCCGACTCGGAATGATCGGCGCATTTCTCCTGCCGAAATCTGTCATTTCACTTGGCAAACGGAAGAAATGGTGGTTCTTTCCCATGTTCGATGATGCTGTGCATCCCCAGGCAACGCAATACACCATCGTACCATTTAAATAAACGACAGAAACAAAACGATTTGTACTACTGTAGCACTTGGTCTTTGGCAATATGGCGGACTCCAGGCACATTTGACGTCACGAGCGGAAAGGTCATGTGGGTTCCAGCGAAATATGCATAATGGCCGAAGCTGAGATTTATAGAAACTGTTTTCACGATTAAAACATAATTATACATAATTTTTAATTGAAAATTTGGGAATATGTTTCTGATGACTTTATCTTTCACCCAGCAAATTATTGCAATTCACTCGCATTCTCCTTTAAGGTTTTCCAGTACTCCTGTATTGAAAAAATAAGGAGTACATACTCCTGATGTTGAAAAATTATCTGGAGCCCTGAAGTCATTACTGGTTCTTGGTTGTGGACCAGCTAATGAAATGGAGAAACAATCAGAAAAGACCTATAATCATTCAATTTCATAAAAGTAATCTGACACAAAAGTGGGCAGAACTGGAATGAGCCTGCTTGCTGCAATTTCACTGCGATGCAAGAAGTGGAAACCATGTTTTAATCTCATTGGCTGATTTGTTCATTCTGGTGACAATATAGTCGATCATATTTATAGTCATCTTTACATGCTTTATGCCAAGTCAGTTTCTTCAAATTTGATTTCAATCAAGCATTTGTGATAAAGCATGCCCTAAATTATTAAAATCTATGAAATTGCTATGATCTGAAGACTTTTCCGGTATTTAATTAGCGTTACACCTGATGAACTGCTGACCTGTCAATAACAAAAACAGCTGTTCAAAAATACGAAACAATACAAAGCATCATATAACCTTGTACTCTGCTTGTCTCATGGCACTTACGGAGTACATGAGATATGTCACAGCACTTAAATATTAGAAAATATTCAGATATTGTTTATGTATAAAGCCTACTTTCTGAAATGTCAAAAAATATTTTCTCAATTCAGCAAATGATAATTTATTATCAGCAGCAATTATTCTGTACCATCAAAACTACAGAGGGGAGGTTAAACACAATACTCACTAATTTAGATCACTCAAAAGTTATTCATTGGATGTTGATCATTCAAAAAAAGTATTATACGGTTGGTTCTCTGCAATTGAGTTTACCTGCTTACACAAGTGAGTGTATTTACTATAATCACAAGTGAAGCGACACTGTATGAGTTATCTTCCTTAATGTGCTGGGATCCATCGCTAACAGAAAAAGTAGCAAGAATGATCCCCCTCGCAAAGAATGAACAACCTCACTAAAGGACAATACTGATTGACAGGTGGCCCAAAACTGTCAACAAATGAACAAAAAAACGGAGAGAGAGAAATCCCCAAACCAAGAAGGCAGATAACGTGATGTTTTTAACAACTGAACCATAATATCCATCAACTATTCCTGGTCGATCTTATTGCTTAAATCTTACATTGTGTTCAAAAGACAGTGGACTTGAGGTGACAGGTTGTCAGCTTTGACTGAACAGTCAAGCCAAAGGGTATCTCCACAAAATGACATTCACTAACATAATTCGAAAAAAAAGTAGAAAACATGAAAATAAAATGCTGACATCTGTCATTCTCAGCCCCTTATTTTCATCCGTTTTAAAATGGTTATACCTCTCTGTCCTTCAATCCAAGCAATAACACTTCTTCCATGAGCGTCAGTCTTGTTTCTTTCGAGTCGTGATCCTCCAGTTCCTCTCTCTGATCATAATTATCTTGATCATCATTAGCTTCAGCCCCTTGGCTTGCAGTCTTTCTTTGTTTAAGTCCAACGTTTCTCTGTGTTAGACTTGTCATGTTTGTCGTATGATGTCAATAAATAAAAGTAACGAAGAGTTTAATCTGTTTTCCACAGAACCCACTCCAAAATGGCCGATCGAGAAACAGAGTTGACGTAGTTGTCAAACGAGATTTTTCGAGATACCATAAATAAACATTAACCAGAACAGAAAATTTAACTTTTCTGACTCCGTAAATACAGAACAAAATCGTTTAATTCATTTCGTTAAATCAAATATGTTAAAACGTATTACTTTTTATTTCTTGCAAATCAAAATGCGCAATTCTGATTGGATAAAATTCAGTTCGTCGGGCAAAGTTAAAAATAAAAATCAAATTTGAAAATTTTCCGACTTCATTCATCATTCGACTTATCATTTCCCAATCGTTCAATATATAACAAAATTAGTAATTGTTTTAACATTTTAGTGTACTAACTGCGGTCCTGTCATGTTGCCAAGGTAAACTTCTCAAGCATCATCTGGCAGTTCGGGAAAAGGCATTGGAGTAGTATCATCATGAACGTGAGGACATACAACCCGTCCGTCAGAGTTGGCAATTGGAATGAAGACATACAGCTAGAGGAGGTAATAATTTAACAAACGTGGGGGTTTAGTTGATACGAAGGTATCAGATATTGAACTGTGTTTAGGCAGGTACAGTCAGTCATATTGCACATGTGAAATGGACCTGTGGCTGTGCGTCAACATTGGGTAGTCTCGAATCTATCAGAAGTAATATCAGGGTAGCTCGGCATTAGTTTAGAGTATGGCTCAAGCACTTTTCATGAGAGGATTGTATTGTCACTGTAAAGGATTACAAAACGTTGCATGCATTCACTGTTATTTTAAATCAATATAAATTTAGAAGAAAACGTGAATGGAATGGAATTTTGCGATAGACCGACGAGGTACAGACCCGTGCCAGTTATATTCGGACACTTGACGTAATTTCCATAGACTTACATGTTAATTTAGTGTGGCATAAATAATTTTTATGTAATTAATTTTCGTAAGATCCAAGTCAAATTTTGCACATTTGTGAGGAATCATCTTACCTACAATCACATAATTTCTGTTTAATTTTCCGTTGTTTATTTATCGAATGGCTACAAGTTTATCAACATATGTACAGTGCCAAGAACTCCTTTAACATAGCGGCCTATGGGATTGTGGTTGGAACCAGACATAAGTTGATGATGTGATGTCATTAGTTAAATAGTGGTTGGAAAACTGAACTGAAATAATGTGCGCAGAGCAGAGATGATTTCACATTTGCCTGTCAAATTTTACGAAGATCCATCCTAAACTCACTTCATGAAAATTATTTATGCTACACTGAAATAACATCTAAGTCTATGGAAATTACGTCAAGTGTCCGAATATATCTGGCACGGGTCTGTACCTACTCAGGTGAGCTTTATATCATAGCCTCTCACTACTAGGAAACTTAATTTGATAGAATGGTAATGTTAGAACTAACACAAAGTGGGTGATTGCAACATCAGCTTGGCTGCATCAAACATGGATAGTTAGATTTGAGAAAAATAAGTATTGCGATCATATTGTGACATGCATGCCAGTCTGACATGATCTCTCTGATGAGCTAATATAGATGTGACAAACGTACAGATTATCATCCTCTGTTTATCAGCTGAATGCCTATGTGAGTTTCACAAATAGAAATGACACCCATCTAGGGTGCGTTGCAAATATATATCTCTCAGAAGCAAATTAATCATTTATCCCAGGTTTGCAACAGCTTGTAGTGCTAGTCCACTCTTTCAAAATGGTGGAGTGAGTACCGTTTGATCACCTTGCATTAATGAAGAGCGTAATAAAAAGGTCTTGATGATGAGCTGATTTATGAATACTAATGACTAGGGCTGCAACGATTATACACTATGTGGCGAATATGATACGTATCATGAATATTGGTTAACGAATACGAATAATTATTCACGAATACAATATTGTAGTTAAGTGATTGATGTACAATATGGAACGCCCATGTTGACAGTTTTGATTTGTCACAGCAATAACCTGTGATCTCATGACACTCAAATTTGGTATGTAATCATGGTAATAGTTATAGTCGACAGTACTATGTGCAGTCTTGGCAAACTAACATGACTTGCACTACTGCAACGCTAGTACATGTTCCATTCTTGCATATCTCACTTTGGAAAAGGACATAAGGGTTCAAGTAAAACTTGCTATCTTAAAACAATCGTAATTATTCGGTTCTGGTGACCACGAATAATGAATTGAATTCATGAAGGGCTACGGTTCGATTCACCGAATATGCGAGTGAATCATTACAGCCTTACTAATGACTACATTGAAGATGTGGAACAAACTGAGGATGCTGGGATGTAAACTGCATATGCATATTTCTCAGCTGGTCCAGTCCAACATTTCTTGTTCATTTGTTGAATTCAAATTTCCCTCAGCTGCCACTTTGGTTTGAGAACAAGGCGACCTCACCTAGCAATTGGTGCGATTGCAAGTGGCTGAATGTTAGCGCTAGAGCTCCATTATTAGGTAGATTGCTGTAAATCACTTGTTTGTAACGCACCCCTATTTTGCACTATTCTTTTCAAGAAGTGAATGCTTATGCTGTCATGGTGCTTCATTGTTGTTGTTGTTGCTTCCACGTTTGCTATAAATAGGACAACATTCTCAGTGCCCTGTAGCCACTATTCCATCATCAATCTCTGAAATTTAAAATCAAATGATTCAGGGTTAAGATTCTCCTACAAAAAGAAAGAACCACAATATGAAAGTATATATCACAATATGAAAGTATATATCACAATATGAAAGTATATATCACAATATGAAAGTATATATCACGATATAATCACACCAACATTTTTGGGATGCACTTTGCATGGCGACCTCACCAAATTGTTTACACTGTCGCAAATGTTGATTTAATTTTAACCTACCTGTGTTTCAGGACACCCTGAAGGATTTCCTTGAGAGAAGGCAGAATGGCCAACTCCTCATCCAGCAGTCTCACAGTCTTGGAGCAACATTACTCCAGAAGGTAAGCGGCAACATGCTCTGTCATCAGAAGAGTTTGCATGGAAATCATCTGAATGGGTATAAGATTAAAGCAGCCTTCACACGGCCAACTAAACTTTGGCAACACGTTAAAATTTAAAGGTTGTCAAACTCGTGTTTTCACGCGTGAAACACATATTGTCAAACTTTCGACCAAAACATTGTGTGACATTTTCGTTGACTGCAATTGGTTGTTTCTGATCAACACGAGTTTGACAACACTTCACACGTTTGACAACACCGAAAAGTTTGATGGAAAACTTGGTGAGAATAGAGACCGATCCTATTTCTCAACATCAGTTGACAACTCTTAAATTGGTGTTGATGGCAAGTTGTTGAAATGTTCACACTGTCAAACTCAAATTGGACAACATGTGTTGTCAAACTTTAATTTGCCGTGTGAAGGCCGCTTAAGGCAGGCCAAGTGAACATTTGGTTCTGTGGTTGAATGCTTTTTGGGTTAAATTCTGTTTGACTGGAAATCCTTTTTTAAAATCTTTTTGGTTGTATTTCTGTTAAAAGTTGGCTGCCTAACCTGCTCAGCTACCGTGACTTCCCTGTGTGCTGGCGATTAGGTGCCTGACTCTGAGGGTGTGGGTTCGAATCCCGGATGGGACTCAAACCCAACAAAAGTACTGGAATCTGTACTTTACTAAGAAAGTGTAATCCCAAATATAACATATGTTAAATTTGACCACTTTCTAAATGGAATTGTGCAATCAAAGATGTCTACAGTTGTCACTATAGTTTTGTAGGAGTCTTTATTTTTATATAACAGTGTCACAGAGACACAAACTTTGCGAATAAACTTGAGCATTGATAACTCAACTTCCAGAGAGACCTGAGTGTATCACTTGATGGATGTGTCCACTTCGGAGATGTTGTGATGCTGACATGCCCGGAGGCAGTAGACAGAACCAAATACTCATCCGGCGTTAATCCCCGGGACCAGTGTGCACTGGCTGCCAGTTCCATGGATATAACTGGTTCCAGGAACATGGAGCCAGTCCTGCGATCTGTGTTCGTCATCAAGAGGTGAGACAAGCTTCTGGTAGCACTGATTGGGTTTCAAGAAGTAATGTGTATATTTTGCATCTATGGCATTTGACATATTAACAGATCTGACATTAGGCATTATGTTGCATGGTAATTGGGTGGTATATTTCTGTGATGAGCAAAATACATATTAGTCTGTCATACAGACTCTGAAGCAAATATATCCAAGAAAGCCCACGCAAGTCTAGAAAATGTGGCAAGTCTAGATTTCCGAAGCTACTGAAAATGAAGAAAGTCTCAGCACTCCCATTCACTATAGTTTGCTATGAGCTTTTTTTTCTGTAAAATATGTTCATTTCAGAGACTAGTTATTAGTCTAGACACATATCTGACACAGATTAAAGTTGTCATTTAAAAGCCTGCCCAGAGTCAGTCAAAATTGTTTTGGTCTTAGATGAGATTGGGCAAGTAAGGGTAAGAAAATGTAACTGAGCCTGCATATGTAGCAGTATGTCTGTTCATCAGTTTGTTGATTGTGGCCTACATCATCACATTTAAAACATTATTTTAAGGATTAATTGTAATCATGTTCAGAAGGGTCCTGGGTGCTGTTGAACAAAGCGATCTTAGCGCTAAGGTGACCGTAACTCCCATACCTTAACATAGACTTAAGGTAGACTTAGCGCTAAGGTTGTTTTGTACAACGGCACCCTGGAGTGTTTTTAGGCTGCTCCTATGGTATTTGAATCTAGGGAACCCCTGATAAGTTAAGTGAGTATCAACCTCAGGGTTAAGACATGGACCCCATGAGTTCTAAACACTGGAAATAATGGGATGGTATAAAGTCTGGACAATGGGGCATTGGTGTGTATATTGTGTCTGTATTGTTTCAGTGTGGACGGTTCTGCAGATGCTCAGCCTCTGAAATATGGTCAAGCTTTCCACCTCTCTACTGTTGATGAGGCAGGGAATGTGAGTCTTTTGAACTGCATTTCAATCTATTAATTGTAGCGGCCATCTATATCAAGTTTCTGACACCTGGGGTACACGCTAGGGCTGGGACAAGTCCAAATTTTCTACCCGGGTACCCCATCCCCTATTACCCTACCCAGATACCAGTTGTGCTAATTCCTGACATCAAATTTGCAAGAAATGACAATATATTCTTCAGCTGGAGGCTAAAATTGTGAATTTTTCAATATCTTAACCATGTATTATATTCAAAAGAAGTGACTGTAAATTATGTCTAAATCTTCAAAGACAATACAACCTGTTAATCATGAAAGATTAACATATATATTGTTTAATCTATTAGTCACATGATCATAACGGGCCCAGGTATTGAGACGGGTACCCAGGTCCAACTTCGGTGCCCACCTGACCCGGGTACCTGGGTTACCTGTCCCAGCCCTAGTACACACTGCCAAACATTAAAAAAAACAGCAAGTGCAATCTTAGTGACTCACGGCTGACATCACCTTTCAAACAAAAAAGAAAGTTCTTCCAAACTGCTGCTGTAGGGGTTGTTGTGAGCATGGATTCTTCAGATATGTACCCTAGCCAAAGTCAGAATACAGAAATGTACCCTAGGACAAGTCCAAATTGTGCCCTAGGACAAGTCCATTTTCTGAGCATTGTGCCACACTGTACCAGTGTTTGCTAATTGATCAACAAGAAAACGTCCGGTATAGGACCTGTACACTAGCAATTTTAAAGTTATTTCCACCCCTGTTTGGTATAAGATACATTTGATTGCATTATATAAAATTTGAGCATACAAGCTAACAAATATACAGTTTTGGTTTTGGGTTGCAGAAAATGGACTCGTCCTCCGTGTAGGGTACTGGTTACGATTCTGTGTTTCGACTTTGTTTAGGGTACATTTCTGTGAACAGAAACATACCTGGGGTACATATCTGTAGTACCCGTGCAAACAGCAGCACTCTTCAGCCTCTCTGCTAGAGCCTAGACTGATCTAAAGTACTGGAAGATGAGATTACAATTACGCTCCACAGGTACCTTAACCACTACAGAGAATCTGTTTTTAATGCTGACTCAACACTTTCAGCTGCTGCTACACAGTGACCAGGTTTCATTCGGGAAAACTGCCAAGAAGTCTCGCCATCAACGGGTATCTCTAGTGTCCGAGGCCTCCTACCTAACGCAGTGGCAGGTCAAGTATCACGACCCGAGGCTCAGGATGGAGTTTGAAGGGGCACCTGTTCCAGTGAGTATTGTATAAACAGTGTGTAAACGTCTCTTGTAATAATTGGCATAAGTTTTGCAGTTCAGCTTTTTAATATGATATTATGGACTGTTCATAATTTATGGCTTGGGAGGATGGTGATGATTTTTATGGAGGAGCATGTTCAATGTGAATGAACCCCGCAAAGATTTATGTACAAAGTAAGTGACCCCTCCTGCATGTCATGTACAAAATCACCTACCTCCCACTTCTCATAATTCTTAAGCATAATTTTTGAGTATTTTTATGTACCGTACAAAATTGCTGACCCCCTCGTACATGTGTACAAAATTGATGACCCCACCCACCTCCCCAGAAGAAAATGGGTGAACGCCCCTTAAAATTATCATCACCACCCCTAGCCATTCAAAAGCCCTTTATAAAAATTTTAATATTCCAGTTTCCTCCTGTACTCTCGTTAACTGATCTGTACCCTCGTTAACCGATCTGTACCCTCGTTGTCCTCAAATATACAAAGGCAGTTGATGTGTGCACCAGAGTTTCTTTATAAGATATACCTGCCATACATTCATGCTTTATGTGAAAGAGCCGCTGTAAAGAAGATGAAGGGAGGTAACTCTCATTGCCTTTGTCAAATGCATGGCCCCAATATGTCTTGTTGCTGTACTATTGAAAACAAGCAATTACATGAAGCTAGATTACACTATAGTTTGTTAAGTTTATGCATCATAAGTCAAAGTTTACATTTATTTTTAGTGGTTTTTTTTATTGATTGTAATATGAATGTGAGTGGGTTAAAAGATTTTGGTCATATTTTTTTCTTCATTTGAATACCTTTCAATGTCTCAAATTTTCAATCCCAAATTTGAACTACGGCTGTAATGCTGTTGTTCCAAATCAAATTTCTGGTCTTTGAACACTGAAATGACACACACAAAACTGGAAGCACAGTAATCTTCAACATTTAAGGTGATCGATGCAGTTGTCTGAATAAAAACACAATGGTAAAAAACCTTTGACGTGTTTGATGGAAATATTTTTGTTGCAGGCAAATGACTTAGTGATCATCACCCATTGTAAGACAAATCAGAATCTGGCTGTCGAGCAGGCCTTCCTTTTGGGGTAAGAGTATTGATATATCTGTTTAAACCTACGATAAAAAAATGGCATATTTCTAGTGTGTGTAACCCATGAGGATCCAGGTTAGACTTGGTCTTCAGTAACCCATGCTTGTCGTAAGAGACGACTAACGGGATCGGGTGGTCACTGACTTCGTTGACTCACGACATCGTATCCCATTTGTGTACATCGATGCTCATGCTGTTGATCTCTGCATTGTCTGGTCCAGACTTGATTATTTACAAACCGTTGCCTTATAGCTGGAATTTTGCGGAGTGTGGCGTAAAACTAAACTCACTCTCTCTCTCTCTTTAGTGTGTGTAGATTGTCTGAATCATGGCAGAAATGTAGTAGATGGCATAGTACCTGTTATGTAGATGTTACATATTCTCAGTTACATCATTGTTAATGTGGCAAAGAGATTTGTCATGTTTCTAATTTTTTCCTCAAATTACAATTTCAACTCTCGAACACTCTATACTGTCTCTTCTCTTATCTTGAACACACTTGACTGACCTTGCCTTGATGCACACTATGCTATCTCAGCCATGCCTTACTATCTCTGCCCTTTATTACACCTCACTGCCTCTTATCAGTATTTGATTACTGCTTACTGTCTCTCTGCCCAGCCCTTGATCTCACTTTACAATATCCTCTAAGCCCTTGATCACACTTTACTGTCTCCTCTCAGCCCTTGATCACACTTTACTGCCTCCTCTCAGCCCTTGATCACACTTTACTGTCTCCTCTCAGCCCTTGATCACACTTTACTGTCTCCTCTCAGCCCTTGATCATACTTTTCTTTCTGATCTAAGCCTTGAGCACACTTTACTTTCTGATCTCAGCCCTTGATCACACTTTACTGTCTCCTCTCAGCCCTTGATCTCACTTTACTGTCTCCTCTCAGCCCTTGATCACACTTTACTGTCTCCTCTCAGCCCTTGATCACACTTTACTGTCTCCTCTCAGCCCTTGATCACACTTTACTGTCTCCTCTCAGCCCTTGATCACACTTTACTGTCTCCTCTCAGCCCTTGATCACACTTTACTGTCTCCTCTCAGCCCTTGATCACACTTTACTGTCTCCTCCTCAGCCCTTGATCACACTTTACTGTCTCCCCTCAGCCCTTGATCATACTTTACTGTCTCCTCTCAGCCCTTGATCACACTTTACTGTCTCCTCTCAGCCCTTGATCACACTTTACTGTCTCCTCTCAGCCCTTGATCACACTTTACTGTCTCCTCTCAGCCCTTGATCATACTTTACTGTCTCCTCTCAGCCCTTGATCACACTTTACTGTCTCCTCTCAGCCCTTGATCATACTTTACTGTCTCCTCTCAGCCCTTGATCACACTTTACTGTCTCCTCTCAGCCCTTGATCACACTTTACTTTCTGATCTCAGCCCTTGATCACACTTTACTTTCTGATCTCAGCCCTTGATCACACTTTACTGTCTCCTCTCAGCCCTTGATCACACTTTACTTTCTGATCTCAGCACTTGATCACACTTTACTTTCTGATCTCAGCCCTTGATCACACTAATTGTCTCCTCTCAAACCTTGATCACCCTTACCGGTAATCGTCTCATCTCAGCCCTTGGTCATACTTACCCGTAATCGTCTCCTCTCAACCCTTGATCACACTTACCCGTAATCGTCTTCTCTCAGCCCTTGATCACACTTACCGGTAATCGTCTCATCTCAGCCCTTGATCACACTAATTGTCTCCTCTCAACCCTCGATCACCCTTACCGGTAATCGTCTCATCTCAGCCCTTGGTCATACTTCACTGTATCAACCTTTGGCCACACTTTACTTTCTCATCTCAGCCCTTGATGACACTTTACTTTCATACCGCCCATGACTGCACTTTACTAAACTCAGGCAAACCTACCAACTTCAACCATGCTACCTATACTTCTTTTCTAGAGTTTGAGACCGCCTCCGTGGTGTAGTGGTTAGAGCGTCCGCCTGGAGAGCGGAAGGTCGCGGGTTCGATCCCCGACCGCGTCATACCAAAAGACATTAAAATATGGTACTTGTTGGTCCCTGTCTGACGCTCGTCTTTAATGGGTACAACAAGGACTGGTCGGCTCGGAGTCAGTATAATGTGTCTGAGTGGGGTATTCATGCTTCACTGCGGCATGGTATCTCAGTGGGCTAGCACTATAAAACCAGCTTCAGTCTGGGCTAGTACAAGCAGCCGCACTTACAGATACATACACACGCATGCACGTCGTCATATTAACGAAATATTCTCAAGCACGACGTTAAACCCAATTTCACCTCACCTGTATCCTTAAAGTGTCCTTAAATGTGATCCCAAATTTGATTATCATACATCTTGTATTATTCCGTGTTTGATTGTATCCTCAACTTTTTCAACAGAACCCCTATGGGCCGAGAATATGAGATTTCCTGTCACACCTTTCTCAACTCACACAAAGCTGAGGAAGACGTCAACAAATGGACATTCAAACTATCCATGCCAGGAAATGATATTTATCCCGTTGCCAAGGAAACCAGCAATGTAACTTCAGAATGAAGCCCTCCCACGTCAGCCAATGTAGAGCAGAACAACTGATTCCAGCACAGGGATTCACAAAACACAAGATAGTGACATATTTTAAGTTTCATTTCATATTTATGAAAAACAGTTCATAATGCCATGTAACAGGCTATGTTTTTGTAAATATTACAACAAATTCTAGTGACCTTTATCAAATCCTGTTTAAGTGAATACTTTGTGTTTTTTGTGTAAATAATGCCATCATTATAGATTAAATTGGGAAGTGCCATTTTCATGTTGCGTGGATTGGGGAAATTCTCATCCTTCAGTGACTTCTTTACAGGTTTATTGTTCTGTTTTTACAAATATATGATCTTAGTTTGTTCTGAATCTTTTTCTTTTACTTCTTGTATTTTATTCCATGGATATTATTTCTGAATTTGGTCACATGATTGTGTGAATAGACGTCAGTACAATACAGTTACATTCAGGGCAGATTTGGGCTTAATTGACATTAGCATATATGCAAAATCAGACATCAGAAATGTGCGGAGTTATGTCCCTTTTTGTCACTCATTTGTATGTTCAAGATTTTGCCTGCTTGTTATATGTTTAAATATATGTACATATATGTATAAAACATACATCAAAACATAGTCATGTTTGTCTTTTATTGACATCTGATGGCAAATGTCAACAGTCAACTGAGGTGTAGGAACTTACCGTGCAGAGTTGTGTCCCTTAGGTTTGTAACAATGTGCTGATTGTTAGTTTGAATCCAGATGTCAGTAATATTTTGGTGCTGGTGATTTTCAAAAGTCAGAAGCCTATGAAGCACAAAAGAAACTTAAAAGACAAGGTTATAAACTGCTGCAACATTAGTGTCCATTTACTATCGTTACCGGCCTACCAGCCCTCCAATTGGTCCATGTGTTACCACCGAGTTCAAACTACTTCAATGTGCTGTAAGCTTCCTGTCTGTTAGTGTTAACTTCCTTTCTGTGGTGTACAGAGATTACAAAATAAGTGGGTGTTGAATATATCGATAAATGTTTTGACTAATTCACAAGCGAAAGTGACTGGATAAATCAAAACGTTTAAAGATATTTGTGATCTATTTATTACACACAGGATGGGAAAACAGTGTGATCCATGATGACAAATCAAGCCGACGATGCCGGATGTAAGCAAAATGAAAGGGAGATATAAACTCTGTCATGACTACTTTATAGATGAAAGCAGGGCTCCAGATAATTTTTCAACATCAGGAGTACGTACTCCTTATTTGTTCAATATAGGAGTACTGGAAAACCTTAAGTGTACATTTAGAGTACTGAATGGAAATTAATGGACTATCAGTAATCTTGTGTTTCGTTTCATATATGCACCACAATATTGCTACTCTTATGTAAACAGGTCAATACACAATAAAACAATACTTTTTTCAGATAAATACGCCTGTAAATGATTCTAAGACCGTACACCATTGCTGTGGTGCGTATCTGCTACGTTTTCTAAATTATTTCCTACCGTATCGTGCATATTTTTTATCCGTACATACGCCGATACAGCCCTTATCTGGAGCCCTGTGAAAGTAAACAATTAGAAATATTCAAACCTACCAATCCCCAGGTCACCAAAATTAAATTTCAATTATACACTAACCTAATGTTTTGTCTGGTTGAAATTTTTGGTCAAAAACTACTTGAATGTGGAGTTGTAATTTTAATTCAAAGTATCGAGGAGGCAACAGAAAGTTAGGCATTATGACATCACTATCGTTGAATAACCTAGTTTGGTTACACAACATTCGTGGATAACTTTGAACTGGTTACACAACACTTGTTTCAAATATTTAAACTTCTCATAAAGGTATTCAGAACATGTGTGTAATATTTGGTAGTTTATGTTTCTTTCCTAACACTGAGCTGTGTGCAATATTCCAGCTGTATGACGGTGATCTGTAAATAATCTTGACCAGACAATCCAGATACTGTTAGGAGCATCTAGCCACAAAATTCTGTCTGTGAATGACTTGCATCAACCAAAGTCTCACCATCCAATCCCGATGAGGTTCCTCTGACACCAAGCATGGGTTACTGAAGATGAATTGGTAAACCAGGGTGTAGGAAACATTTAATGTATGTATGCAAATAATTTAATCTGGACCAGACAATCATGTGATCTTTATTGCCATATGATAAATGATGCCCAATCAACCTGACCACGTGATCCATTTTGCCACCTCTCAACACCAGCATAGTTGGCAGGGGCACTATTCTAACCCCAAATCCACCAGGAGCATTTCGGAATCAGACCTTCACATTTGCCTTCATTTAATGTCCCAACTTGTTGGTACTTTGGTGCTGCTACTCAAAGACGACAACACACATGCAAACTTATTTACACGATATATGAATTTTATTTTTATCATTTACCCGAGATGATTTAAATCATACAAAATTCTCAAAATATACACATTGTACAAATACATCATTGCTATTCAGCCTATACAAGACTAATCGATAAATCTTCTCAGACATGTAGGCAACAAAGAAGAGTTCAGTCAAAACATGGTTGTAGATCGGTTAGACAACGCCAAGTTCCAACACTCCAGGCAAAACGAATATTTATGTCATGCACAGAATTAGGTATAGGTGAAACTGTAGACATTGCTGAATAACTTTTAAATTTAAATCAATTTTACATGTCAATATTTTAAAAATATTTTTAGTTGTATTTTCATAAAAGATAAAAACATTTATTGAAGAACATGTCCTGTTTGTGAATACATCATTAATATTTAATGTAAATTGATATTCCGTAGTACAGTTCCCCTTACTTGTTTAAAATTCAATTATGTACACTTAGATTTACAGTTAGCTTTCAGACCAATACTCTCAGGGGTGGAAATAACTTTAAAATTGCTAGTGTACTCCGGAACAGTGGCACATGTAAAATCACTTGCCCTGATAATTTGTCCACTTTACCATCCGTTTTCTTGTTAAATTTTTAAAATAAACAACATAATTAACATTGGAAAATCAACTGGACACCAGTACAGTGTGATATACAAATTTGCTTGCCCGACAGAAAAAAACACTGGACTCGGACGTCACACAATGGGTTATTTCCACCCCTGACTCTTAAACCAAAAAACCTGAACATAACAAAATATTGCTTTTGAATTATTTGAAGCAGTTTTCCTATAATAACAATCTGTCCAAATTTGGTCCCTCCTTAGAAGAGCACCATTGGCCGACCAACTGTAGGATGACACGACTGTCCATTATGAAGATGTATGTGGCGTTAGATCAAAGAAAAACATAAGTGTTTAGCCCAGCAACACAAAGCAAACTTTGAACATATCGTAAGAATGTATTATTTCAAACTACAGATAGGATTACGAACATGTTCCAACTCCTAACATGCTATCATCTTAAGTTGATATTTACAAATGACATAATTGCGCTTATACAGCTAAGCAAAATGGGTGTCAATTTCAAAAGGATGCAAAATCAGCATATACCCTTCAGGCAGATTTTAACTACAACCGCTCTGTGGAACAGGGTACCGTTAAATTCATCACATTTCGAGGCATGTTCCTGTTTTAAGTAAGCAACAACAACTGTAATTTCTATACAACATTATGAGTGGGTATGGTTTTATGACGCTTTTAGCAATATTCCAGCAATATCACGGCGGGGGACACCAGAAATGGGCTTCACACATTGTACCCATGTATGAAATCGAACCCTGGTCTTCAGCATGACGAGCGAACAATTTAACCATAAGGCTACACTACTGCCCCTCAACATTATGCCTTTATGAGGGTATGTTGCTCGCGTGTAAAAACAAACGCTGTATAAAATTGGCCACACAAAGAAGCAACATTCAGCTACACTTCATGCCTGTCAACAATAACAAAATAATTCAGATATTATGAACAAAGAGCGAATGAAAGAACTATCACTATGGAGTGGTAATTACTGTTATATCATACTTCATATCGTCCTGACGAAGCTGATTTAACGTTCCTTGTAACCAGTCATAATTGTTAACATGATAGTTGCATCAATGCCAAGACCGGATCTTCATGACACAAATATATTTTGTTCTTTGTTCATGTATCAAAATATACTGGACAAAAATAGTTAGGGATATGTGTAAATTTTGAAATTATGAATAATGATCTATTTATTCATTGACACACTGATAAAATATGAATCATAAAAATAACAATATCCCTAACTTATTTTGTCCAGTATATGTATCTAATCTTTTGACAAATAATCGTATCACAAAACAGGATGTGTGCACCTATAAAACAATCAGAGTTGTGCCCCCCTGATTTCAATGCTACATACAAAACTTGAATCATACAGATAAAGCTTTAAAGTATGTATGTCTTACACGATAGACACAAGACAAGACAAGTCATTTGATTTTGGATTGTTACAATATTTGTTTTAGAAACAATAGTGTGGTTACTTAGTGAAAGTATCTTGTCTTTAAATAAACCTATGGAATGAAATTCAAGTACTATTAAAGCACATTTATTTCCAAGCAATTCTTTCCATAGATAGAAATTTAAGGCCCTGGATCAGACACTTGTCAACACAAGAATAATCAAATTCCATCATGGAAACTAAAAGTTCTTAGTTTCTACATACATCCACAAGTTTGTGATATGTGGAAACTCCAAACCTTTTATAACATACTAATTCCCTAAACAAATTTTCTCCTGCAAAAATCAACACAAATACGCAATTTTTCTGTCAGACATTTAATTTAAAGCACTATGTTGTGAAAGTGCCTTTGCCACAATGAGCCTTCATTCTGACTTCTGCAATGTTTCTGCCCTTAGATGTTTGCAATGTGTTTTCGTATGTGAAGAAACAATGCAAAAAAAAGGGTCAGTAAAATACAATGTATCAGCAGATTAACTGGGAATGTCAACAACATTATCACAATATGTTAAAGAATACTCTCATGCAGTTTAAAGTTATTATTCCTCTACAAATCGATGTATAAAACACAGATTCTTGTTTTATGAAACAACACAACATGTGGTTGTATAAAACACAGATTCTTGTTTTATGAAACAACACAAAATGTGGTTGTATAAAACACTGATTCTGGTTTTATGAAACAACACAAAATTTTGTTGTATAAAACACAGAATCAGGTTATAAAACAGCACAAAATTTAGTTGTATAAAACAACACAAATACTTACTGCACAGCTATAACTAGGGAATGTACTCAAGATGAGCATGTCAGTAAAGTAAAAAAGAATCACATAGATACAAGCCTCTGTTTATTTCTATACAAAATTGCAGTTTAATTACACATCTGTTACATACACACCTGCATAGATTTATATATATACTGTAGATTTAATTGGTGCGGGAACATTTGACAACTGTGAACAACGAAACCTCATTAATCCAGAGTCCAGAAGATGGGGTCCACTCCGTGACTGGATTAACGAGGAATCATTGTTAATCAACTGAGGATGGTATATGTACATTTATCACATGTTGTTTGAGTTAGCGAATATATGCACTATCATTTACATCATATATACAAAAATATGACCACATTATTGCAGAAATATTAATGTGCAAAATCTACTGCCAGCAAAACATATGAAGCAAATAAATGAAAGTGTTTGAATTTGTAATTTAATGAACTTGAAAGACTGATCCAAAAATGGAAAAGAGTGGAATGATAGTATTTGCAAATTTTACACCCAAAAGTATTTTCAAATAAAATGGCCTACAAAAGAAAGAAACGTTGATGACAAAACTCACACCAACAGGTGGATGGACATTTCACAACCATGATTTATGCTATAAAAAAATCTTCTTTTCTCTTTGGTGGGGTGGGGGTAACTTCCTTTGTGTATACATTTTAGGGGGGTCATTCACATTGTACATGCTTCTCCATAAATATCATCATCACTCCCCTAGCCATAAAGAGTGAGTGAGCGAGTTCTCTTCTCTTGTGGAATGTTAGTTTCATGTAGAATGAAAACACTTCATGTTACAGGGTCCCGATCAACAAAATGTTCGTAAAGTTACGACCAGTCATAACTCTATTGTTTATCACACGCTTACAAAAGTTGTAGAGCTACGAACACTTTGTGGATCAGGACCCTGATCTTAGATTTTAATACTTTGGTGAATCCCAGGAATATGGATATGGTGCAGAGCAACCTATAAAAATACTCTTGGATTAGTGCAAGTGAGTGAGTTGGGTTTAACAATATTCCAGATATATCACAGCCTGTCATGTGGGAGTGAGTGAGTGAGTGAGTGAGCGACTGAGTTTGCTTTTGTGCCGCTTTCAGCAATATTCCAGCAATATCATGGTGGGGGACACCAGAAATGGGCTTCACACATTGTACCCATGTGGGGAATTGAACCCGGGTGTTCGGCATGACGAGCGAATGCTTTAACCACTAGGTTACACCCCTCCCACTCCCCGAATGTCTGACAAAAGGGGCATTTCTAGATTCTTCTGTGTATCTACATGTATTTGATTGGCAATTTGCTTCATGTAGATATCTCTGAATTCACTTCATTCAGTTTGCTGTATGACTGACAAACTTTCCCACTTTTGAAACGTAGTGGTGGATTTAATACACACTGAAGTGCATGGAGTGCAAAGAGTGAATGAAATACACGAGACACGATACAATAGCGATATATAAAAATATAAGCATTTCAATGAAAAAATGGACGTTTGTGTATATATTAATATCCCATCAAATTATGGACATAATATGCTAAGAAGAGACGGTCTTTCCATTAAGGTGGAAACAATATTGAAAACTGACGTCATAACATGTAAACCGAGTCCAAACAGATACAACACTGATATGATGCTTAAATGTTTGGCGATATTTTTTATAAAAAATTCAACGTAACGAAGCAGATAAACCCGATTTCCCATTGTAAATAACTCCTGGCTTATGCTGTTACTTGTTATCGTTACTGCATCATCCATTCATAATAATAATAATCATAATTATTACAACACACCCAAGTTGCACATACAAATAAACAAGCTTGTATTGGTTTGTATCACATGACCGGACCTAACCTTGTATTGTCTATCGAAACCAGGATCACAGTTCATCAGAATGTGATCACATTGATATGTGTTTCAAGGGGACTGTGTTTCATACACGATTTCACATTCTGTATCGCCATTACGTATTGGACGTGTTTATATCTGCCTGAAGAGTAAGCTCAGCTGGATTGGATGTGGCTGTTGGATCTTTCATAACTGCATAGAGGGGGTTAGAAAATCCCCCGGAGTCTTCCTCCGAATGGGTCGGGGCCTTGGAGAAATGGGCATATCCGTTGCCCTCTATTGAAATTTCGGAATCTTCGGCCAGATATTTGGTGGTGTCACTCATCGGGTCGGCCGTTTCCCCATTGGACATATTCATATCATACAGCTGATTTCTCATGGCGATGCTGCCATCATGCGTCTGTTCTATTATGTCGTCATGGAAACGTTCATGTGCAAAATGAGATTTGGGATGACGACGTACGCGCCATAACACAACAGCGATGATAGTTATAATAATAATTAGTAATACTATTGGCACAACAACGGCAACAACTATATTCTTCGAGGGTTTCTGTTGCTGGCCTCCTGTCGCTGCTGTTCCTGTCTTCAGCGTTGTTGTTGGTGTTGTGGTTGTCTCTGTAGTTGGTGTATTTGTTGTTGATGAACTAACTGAAGTTGACGTTGTTGATATGGTAGTGGTTGTCATTGATGGTGTTGTTGTAGTTGTAGATGTAGATGTTGCAGAAGCTGAAGTGGTTGGTTGTGATGTAGAAGATGGTGGAACTGGGCTAGTAACACGTTCTGTTGTAGTTGAAGGAGTTGTAGTTGGAGATGTTGTAGTGGGAGGAGTAGTTGTTGATGTTGGTGATGTCGTCGTTGACATAGTTGTAGTTGTGCTGACTGTTGTAACAGGGGATGTTGTAACAGGTGATGTCGTTTGAGGGGTGGTTGAATCTGAAAATAAGATTTTAGAGTTGCATTGTCACATAGTAAAAAACATCTTTAATTTCAAAATTTCAATAGTTACCTTAATCCAGTGATTAGACTGAGTGAGTGAGATTAATAATGGCGCTGATTGGAAGAACATATTTCAGTTTTCTAACAGCAGGACATTTTCATGATGGAGGAATGTAACATAGGTGATAGACATTCCTGTTCATCAACCTCAAAGTGCTAACAAAACAAGGATTAAATAAAGACAAGATCAAGGACAGATTGACAGATATGAATTTTTTTAAAGCCAAGTTGTTTCCAGGTTTTACCCCAAAGAATTACCTTCCTGACATACTGATGTCCTGAAATATGATTCACAGACAAAAAGAAAATGATGTGTAGTTTTGATGCAGGAATATCCTCCAAAGCAGTTGATGTCAGAGTAGGAGGACCTTATTGGTTTTACTTTCTCGTATTTTTTTACCTTTTTACCAATACATATGAGAGATCCCATTAAAAGATGTTTTGTTTGTATTTTTCGACCCAGAATACTGTAAATTCAGTCTGTTTGTTGTTTAACACTGCAATATTCCAGCTATATGGCGGAGGAATCAAGTTTGGACCAGACAATCCAGTGATTAACAGCATGAGCATCGATCTACGCAATTGGGATACATTGTCAAGTGTCAACCAACTCAGCAAGCCTGACCACCCGATCCTGCTAGTCACCTCTGAAGACCAATTCTAACCCAGATCTTCAATTCTAAGCCAATTCTGTAAAAATATAGAAATCAAATTGATCTTAGTTGGCAATAAGTGATAGATCAGCTTACTGTAACACTCAACACTGGCATCTTCTGAATGATTACAGTTGTGAGTTCCGATGCCTCGGCTCTGGCAATCTCCAATACTTGTCTCATTTCCTATACACTCCACATTGTCCAACCAGATCCGACCTGTGCCCTTCCCATAAGCACTTCCATTGATAGCACGGCCATGTTGGAATCCCAGCTGCCGACAGACGACAGTGGCGTCAGTTTTGTCCCAGTAGTCGTCGCATACCGTTCCCCATTCGTTTGGCCCAGAAACGTACACTTCAACTCGACCACGGTCAACTGATTGGTCACCTGAACGGTCCTTGCCCAGACGGACATGCGTGAGAGCTGAAAGATAACAGATAAAATTGGTTATTTGAATAGGTCTGTCTGAAACTGCTGAATTTGGATTTACATAATCTCTTGCTGCTCTCAATATTGATGCTCAAACTATCCATCACTGATTTTGCATGAGACAAATGAGTATTTGAAAGGACATTCTTCTGTGTTTGAAAACCTTCTCAGGAAAGTTTGGATGACAAAACAACAATGTTTGAGGAAAGTAAACTAATTGGAAAGGATGCTCTATTAATGAACTAATGACCTAGTCAGTCACAAGATTGGTTGGTTTGTTGTTTAACGCCACACCCTGCAATATTCCATCTTTATGGCAGCAGTCTGTAAGTAATCGAGTCTGGACCAGACAATTCAGTGATCAACAGCATGAGCATCGATCTACACAATTGGGAAACAATGGCTTCGTTAAAGCAGACATCAACATGCCAGTGTTACTACACAATGCCATTTAGAAAGTGGTCAAATGAAACATATGTTATATTTGGGATCACACTTGCTCAAACTTTCATTTGGTTGAGTCTCATGTAGGATTCAAACCAACACTCTCAGAGTCAGGCACTAAATCGCCAGCACACAAAGTCAGCGATCTATACCACTATTCCAATAGAGTATATTGTTAATAAGGACCTTAAATTTCAGAGATAGCTGTGAAATAACCCATATCTGTTCATATTAGTGAGTGAGTTAAGCTTTCCACCACTTTGGCCATTATTTCAATTATATCATAAAATGGCAGATGAGATGGGACGGATTCCCAAAGCAATGCAGATCTCAGACATTTACCATTTCGATGACATCCAAACACGGCTATAGGTATATGAGGATTCGAACTAACCTGTAGAGGTTTAAGATTCTTTGAATATATTCCTCCTTGGGGTACTTATAAGCATTTAAATGTCCATTTAAAATCCCTACTTACAGTTGTAACAATATTTTGAATAAAATATTTACAAAACAAAAACTACGCTTTGTCTTGTGAGACCACTCCTTACAGGGCCCTCTGGCCCCTACAGCCAAGAGCAGGTAACTCCAGACCGTGAACCTCAGACTCACTTTCCATGCTGAACTAAGTCAGACAGAATGCGGGAGGGAGGGATGTGATTCTAAGGAGGAATATATTCAAAGAATCTTAAACCTCTACAGGTTAGTTCGATTCTTTTATATATTCCTCCTTGGGGTACTTATAAGCATAAGACAGACTCCTAAAGACGGATCTCAGGAGCTGCATTCTGTCTGCTTAAACACCCCCGACAAGAAGTGGAATTTCCAAGCTAATTATAGCAGAAAAGGCACACTTTACCCGGTCACGGTCCACCAAAGCCAATCAGGCGGGCATGAGCCAGGGTCAGGGTAAACGATGCAAATTTTGTCCAGCTTAAACCTCGCTAATGCAACGAACGAGACACACCTCCCTCCTTCCCCGTAATCTACTCGAAGTGAAGATAAGGGTCCCAAGAATAAACCCAGAAACGAAATGCCGCGGAACAGCAAAGTTTCCAAGGGCAGTTTAGTCTATCGCTCGTTAGAAAGCAAGAGACATGGGAATAAAACCATCACCACATAAAACCCATCACCAAGGGGAAATGTAACAAGATTTGTAAAACCCAACACCAGTGTTAAAAATTGGCAGATAACGGTTCACACAATAAAAACCTCAAAGCTCAATCGCTAGAGAGGTGGAACCATGCCCACTGGAGAGAACTGACTGACCAACCGAAAGCACGCCACTGGAGAGTCTGTCAAGTTGGTAATGACGGATGAACGCATCGACGGCTCCAAATAGCCGCTGAGCAGATCTCCTCAATGGGCAGGGCTGCAGCGTAAGCTGTCGATGTAGCCACTGCCCTAACCGAATGAGCTCTTCAACCCTACAGGCGGATACCTGTTTGAGTATAGCTCATGTGTATGGCAGAGACAAGCCACCTAGAAATGGTTTGCTTGGTCGCCGGAAGACCAGCCTGAACCCCGCCATAACAACAAAACAATTGGTTACCCTTACGGGTACCCCTTTGTTCGCTTGATATAAGCCTTAAGTGTCTTACGGACATCTAAGACGGAGCACGCCGTAGAGAGGTACCGACAGGGAAGGCTGAGTGAAAGCTGGGAGCTCAATAGGCTTCGGCCACATGGAAGGGACTATCCTTCTTAGGACGGTAAGTATCAGGCAGCCGTGATGCTAACTCTGTCTTTGTGAAAATAGTAAGCTGGATCGGCCGACATTGCGTGAATATCGCCAACCCGCTTCGCCTGAAGTCACCGCCATTAAGAAACGCCGCCTTCCACGCCAACAGCTGGAGTGAAAGAACCGACAGATTGTGAAACAGTGGACCGACAGCCAATCAAGAACGATTGACAAGTCCCATCGGGACTAACTACCGGACAACCGGACGGATTCTGTCCACGCCTCGCTAAAAACGCTGTACCAGAGGGTGCTGCCCCAAGAGAGCACCGCCAACAGGAATGTGAAACGAGAAATAGCTGTAGAATATCCTCGAACAGTTGAAGCCGCTTAGACCGCTTCCAACCGAGACTGGAGGAATTCTAACACACAGACTAAATCTGTAGAAAAGGGATCAAGAATCCCCTGTTGACACACCAGCGCCAATAACAGGCCCATCTATCCTCATATTGAACGCTTGTCGAATCCCTCCTCCGGGCCAGAATTGTGTCTGCAACTGGTGCAGGAATTCGCCGCGATGGAGGCGCATCCCTGATAGCTGCCAAGCCACCCACTGAATCCTGGGATTCGGGTGGGCCCGCTCTGGGATAGGAGGTCCGGGTCGAAAAGGTAATAGAACAGGAGGCTGAGCCAGAAACCTGAGAATTACCGAAACCAGCTTTGTGCCGATTCAAAGGTGCCAGAAGCACAAGTAGCCGAGCTGGTTGCAGCGGTCAGCTGCTTACAGGACCCTGGAAATCAGTGGTATCGGGGAACGCCCACAGTACCCTGTCCGTCCAATCTAGCTGAAAGGCGCCGTTATTAACGCACCCGATCCGAACTGAGCAAAACACAGGAATCTGGTTCGCCACCCCAGACGCAAACAGATCCACCTGGAACGACCAACAACTGGGAGATAATCCCTAATATCTCCCGGTCGAAAGCATCCACTGCAGGGCTAGTATACCGCGGAGAGAGCTGGCCTGCACGGACGCTGTCTACCCCCGGAGATAAACAGGCAAAACCCAATGTTGAACTGATCGCACCACAGTAGAAACTGCCACGCCCCTGAAGGAGCCGACGGAGACACTGTGCCGCCTTTGCTTGAGAATGTAAGTCATGGCCGCTTGATTGTCCATTTCTAGACGAACCACACGGCCCTGCACCAACACCCGAAGCACTCAACACCTTGCGGACTGCTCTCAGTTCTAACACATTGATGTGTAGGCTGATTCTCCCGGCCCCACCAGAGGCCGGAGGCTGAGTGCTCGCCCAGGACCCCCAACCTGTGAGGGAGGCGCCCGCCTGAACTGAGAGGGAAGGTGTCGGGTGTCGAGGGGATTCCCCTGACAAATTCCCACTTCCGGCCCACCATCGCAAGTGAGGGATTAACCACTCTGGCGCTATGAGCATAATCTCAGAGCCCCGCGAAAGTGGGACCACAGCTGAGCTAATGCTTGCTGAATTGGTCGCGATCTCAGACGCCAAGACGCCAAACCACGCCCACTGTCGCCGCCATGTTGCCGGAGCAACCGGGCCATGTTCGGGCCGACGAACGGGGACTGGAGGAACTGTAACACAGTCCCTCGGACTTTGACGATGCGTCCGAGCAAGGGAAACAATCTCTAGCCTGTTGAATCTGGCTCCCAAGAATATCAGATCCCGCGCCGGAACGAAGTTCTGATTTCTTGAGATTGATAATCCAGCCCAGTGACACCAGAGTATCCAGCACGCACAGTGTGGAGGCTCTGCTTAACTGAGGCCCTAAGGCCCGTGAGAAGCTAATCGCCCAGGTAACGGGTGACAACACCTGCCCTGAGACCTGGCTAACTGAGCTGGGATTAGCATAAGTTTGGTGAACACCCTTGGCCGTGAGATGCCGAAGGGGAGCACGCTAAACTGGTAGCACGCCCCGTCAAGGAGAACCGGAGGTACTTCTTGAATTCGGGTGCATTGGAACATGGAGGTATGCGCCTTTGAGATCGATTGACGAAGCCAATCCCCTGTCTCGACGGAGGAGATCACTGACCTGAGTGTCTCCATCCTGAAAGACGGCACCTCCAGTAATTTGTTCAGCCCTCTGAGATTCAGAATGGGTCTGAACCCTCCGGCCCTTCTTGGTCACGCAGGAAGTAGGTGGAATAAAACCCTCTTCTCGCTGACTCACAGGAACCACCTCGATGGCTGCCTTGGTCAGTAAAGACTGAACCTCGCACGGAGGACTTCCGCTTTGTGTCTGGGAGGTCGGCACAGGCGCAGCCAACCCCCGAGAAGGACGGAGGATCGCTACCCACTGTGGCAAATGGCCATCCCTGAGCGTGGACAGGACCCAGGGATTTGAGGTGGCTGCCTCCCACTCCCGGAGGAATAGGGACAGCCGTCGCCGACAGGGACGGTGGCAAGAGGCAGTGCACCCCCACCGCCGGCAAGTCTCCGCCATGGAGTGGGGGCAACAAGGCTCTGGGGCATGAATCAGTGGGAAGCCGGGCTGGCTTCCCTTGCCCCGAAGACTGACTGCTGGCGCTGGCGCAGGCCTGCCCCTTGCCTCTCGACGCCTCGCTCCGCTTTGACTGCAAAGGGGCAGCCCACTTAACAACATCCTTCGCCGGAGCCAAAGGGTAAGCGGATGCAAGCGGGGAGGGCCGATGGCGAGGAGCGGAGGGCTGCTCCAACAAAGGCTTTGAGTCCTTAAAAGTAGAGACAGCCTCCGCGGCCTCCCTAACCACCTGCAATGCCCCAGGGAACAGGGAAGATCCCATGGTATAGGGCAATGAAAGTAGAGCTTGCTGTGTGGCCGGCGAATACCGTGCCACAGACAGCCACAGGCGGCGCAAGCCCATGACTGCACCCATCATCTGGCTGGCACAGCACCTAATGCTGTCCCGAGCCAGATGTGAGTGTACATCCGTTAGTTGCCGCGCGAGCACCGACTCCGATGAATCGGCACCGCCAGCGCTGTGGGCCACCAGCTGTCCCTGCAATGCAGACAGGTAGGCTGAATGGACGGCCACTTTAAGCTGCTGAGCCGCGCACCGGTAGCATTCTTCAAATGACCGGTAGGCAGACTTCAGCGGTAGGGATGTACTAGCCGGAAAAGGGGGGAGGCGCCTGCCCTGCCTGGCCGAGGCCAGGGAAGACGAAGACGACCCTCCTAATGTAACCGAGGCAAATACGCGACTTCGCCCACCACTGGTGGTTCGGCGAGCGCCTCCTCACCTAACTGGTACCGCCGCCCACGCCAGGCAAATCAAAGCCGAAGCGAAGTACCAGTAAGGAGCGGATTCACCACTTCACTGACCAGTGATGGGAGAATGCGCAGGCGAGCCTCTGGCGACCCGGTTAAGTGCGAACGCCCCCGGAGCCAAACTCCGCTGGGTCGGGTTGCCGGACGGAATAGCCACCCGCGCAGGACTTCGCGATCTTATCCCGAACCTGCCGCAGGGACGAGGCAAAGGAGTACGGCACTCCCGCCCGGGTTCCTCCGTCCCTTCCTCCTCCTCCATATCGACCTCGCAGAATCCTCGCCGCCATCATCTCAGACTCCTGAGAGAACGCCGAGGAGACGCCAGAGGCAGGACCAGACAAAGTAATAAGGTCCAGAGGAGCCAGGGGAAAACATCACCCTGCCGGGAGGAACCCGCGCCAGGTCGCCGAGTAGCCCGAGAGGAACCTGCCGCAACAGGCTTCCCGGGCAGCCCAGACTGGCTGCCAGGCGCCGAGGTATCCCCGAACTGGTCGGTGCCTAAGCGACCACCAGTCGGGACACCAGGCGATGACAGGGGCAACCCTGTCTCGCCGGGCACCAGGCACCTGTGACAGCCCCGGCGTAAAGCCAGGTCGCCAGCAGACGCCGAGGGCATGCTATCGCCACGGCCGGCCAGGATCAAGCCTGGGAGGCGCTGCTCTCCGAGCCAGGCTCGGCCGCAGTTAACCCCCAGATGTGTCAGCTCCGCCCGACGACCGGCGCTGAGCTCCTTACGGAACCCTGCTAACGCCGTATCAATCAGGGACTTGACTGACGACATCTGCTCCTGGAAAAAAATGGTTAAGGAATCAACAGGAACATTTTGCACAGGTGCTGAATCAAGAGGGGGGGTGGCGGGTACAGAGATGGAAGCAGGAGGAGACGCCGAAGGGGCATGAGTGCGTGACGGCCGCCTTTGGTAGCCTTAGCTTTGGGAGCCGGCTCGGGCTCGGGGAAGCGCCCCCGTGGACCCCTTTTTCCTACTATGGGAGCCGCTTTGACGGGGATCCTGCGCCCAGAGATCACCCCCAAGCAGGTTGCTGTAAAACAGCTGCGTGTCTATGCCCGACCGAATGGTTTGGGCGAGAACATGGCACATGCCGCACACCCCTCTTCCTCATGTTCCTTCTGCACTAAACAGCGTGAGGGCAGACCTCGTGGGAATCCCGTGACGGGATTGCAGCAAGGCAGGAAGTACAGGGTTTAAACTGCAACAAGTAAAAACCTGTGCAGCAATGTACCCTATACCCACATACAAATACATGTAAACAGACGATGGGCATACACAACTAACGCGATAACGAGCATGCAGTTGACCTAGTACACACTGCAGCATAACTAATAATTACGGTTTTTAGCGTAATATAGAAAATGCGAAAGCAGTAGACATACCCAACACGCACTCAAGATACAAATAAAAATCACTAAAACCACCTGTAACATTGAAAACCACATGGGAAACCAATGAACAGGAAGGTTAATGAAGGGACCTGTCCGCCATCTTGACACGCACTAGCGAAATGACAGCGACAGGTACCAAGTTACAACGAGAATTTATGAATGAAAAAATTCAGAAAAACCTCCACCGCCCATGCAGGGAAAAAAAAAAAAAGAGAACCATACATACAGTTGCAGTTTCTGAAACACTCATTTCTCTATAGTCGCAAGGAAAAACCTTCTGGTATGGACTCCACGCCTTGTCGGTACAACGACAGCATGGAAAGTGAGGTACGCAGGTTACGGTCTGAGTTACCTGCTCTTATTGTAGGGGGCCAGAGGGCCCTGTAAGGGTGGTCTCACAAGACAAAACGTAGTTTTTGTTTTGTAAATATTTTATTCAAAATATTGTTACAACTGTCGTAGGGATTTTAAATGGACATTTAAATGCTTATAAGTACCCCAAGGAGGAATATATAAAAAAGAATGTATAGCTATTAGTACTTATATTCAGGGTTCGTACAGATTATCATCCATCAAATTTATAGCATTTTTAGTGCCTATTCATGACCCAAAGAACAATATTAAGGAACTATAGAAACACATATAACGCATAAGTAGTTGCAACACACACGGCTGGTCAATGTGGCACTGACTGTCATGTATTTTCGATGTTAGAGGTGGATTGTCCTGGATTCCAACAGACAATATAAAGTCCGCCATACGTTTTTAATCCACCATGATCTTATTACATCATCACACAGTTTGATGACGTCACTTGCCTACGTCATCATTTTTTGGGGATGTACTATTTACTTAACAAATATCACAATGACCATCAGAGGGAAGTTACTCTTAGCTACATTGCTGGAATGGGAAAAAATTGCTTCAGGATGGAGATTAATGGACACCCACTGTCATTGCAAGGTATTTTGATTATGTACTAGTTTCCTGTAAAATCTTTTGCTAAATATAGGGCTTTTATGGCAAATCAATGGTAATTAGGGCTTTTCAATGCTAAAATGAAATTAGAGCCTTTTAAGAGTACAATGTCACAACCCAAAATGATGAAACGCATTAAAACTTTGGTTTCAACAATGCATACCTGTTTTGTTGTAGCAGATAACACCTGCGTCGTTAGAGTCGTAGTTGCAGTTCTGTTTGTCGGCCGTCTCATGATGTGGACATTTGTCAAGGGAGGTCTCATTGCCACTACACCGGAAGTTCCTCATGAGGATGGCGTTAGTGTTCTTGACAATGTGGAGGTAGGCCACCCCGCCCTTGAAGCCGAGACTCCTGCATGCCACACTGGCGTCCATATCGTCCCACCCCTGCATGCACACCCCGACCCCACACTCCGTTTTTCTTGACTTCTACAATGCCATGGTAGTCCTTGCTTAGGCCGTCGGCTGCTAGTCGAATCTGGAAGCCTGTTGATATAATATGTGATTATAAAAGATGATATATGATGATTTACCCCTATAACATGGAAAAATGGCCGGTAAATAATGGTGTTTGGATGAGATAAACAAGTTGCTGATATTATGAACAACATTCTCAAAATATAGCACTGATGACTGCGATTGAATAAGACATAACCCCTCTGACAGGCTGTATCAAAAGCAAGTATGCATGATAGCACACTGAAATACTGGTTGTCAAATTTACGCAAGAAGATTTAACTACTAGTATGCTGCTACTATTGTCCATTCCAAGCGCCATCTTAAGGTAGGCACCAGAGATCACAGTCAATGATTACTGGCCTCCTATTTATTCAAAGCCAGATATCAAGCACCATGAGTGAGTGAGTGAGTATTATTTTACGTCGCTTTTAGCAATATTCCAGCAATATCACGGCGGTGGACACCAGAAAATGGGCTTCACACATTATACCCATGTGGGAAATCGAACCCGGGTCTTCAGCCTGATGAGCGAATGCTTTAACCACTAGGCTACCCCACCGCCTCTCATGCGCCATGAAAATCAGTGTTATTATAACAGCAAATGTATGTTGTACTGAACAGGGATTGAGTGTTCTCTAAAGCATCTCTCAAAGAACAGCATGTGTTCTTTAAATGATTGAGTCCCCAACAATCCAGGGATTGACATCATGAGGAGTTGGGATGCCATGAAAGTCTGACCACCTGACCCAACTGATTCCCTATGTGTTGTGCCCGGGCAAGCGATTGTGGCACAGCCATCCACAACACTCAACTGGAGAACATATTCGACCCGTGAAGGTCCGGGTTAGAATTGACCTTCAGTAAGGTGACTAACGGGATCGGGTGGTCAGGCTCGCTGACTTGTCACATGTTATCGGTTCCCAATTGCGCAGATCGATGCTCATGTTGTTGATCGCTGGCTGGATTGTCTGGTCCAGACTCGATTATTTACAGACCGCCGCCATATAGCTGGAATATTGCTGAGTGGGGCGTAAAACTAAACTCACTCACTCACTCACTCAACTGGAGGATCCCAGCTGTGATGGTGTCGTACTCACCTGTGTCATTAAATGGTGTCTTAGAACAGTACACAGATGCATACGTCCCTGTGGTGCATGTTCCTTCTTTGCTCAGTGTGCAGTCCTTGATGTCCTTTTCCGTCCCTTTACACTTGATGCTGGTGAACACGATTGGTCCGGAGATGTTGCCGAACACAGATCCACCAATAGCCCGTCCGTGCGTGAAGTTCATACCGAGACTCTTGCATGCAACAGTTGCAGCGGTATTGTCAAGACCCGTGTCACATACTCCAACCTTTTTCCCATCATCGAATATCTCCAATCCTCCCTTGGTAGCACCGAATCTCTGGTTGAGTCGAGCTGAAGATAAATGTTTATTTATATGTATGTAAAGCAGAAGAACTATAATACTAAAAGCAGAATATGGGAGAGTGCATTTGTTAACAAAGAACTTTAGTTTTACACCGCTTTTATCTATATTCCAGCAATATCACGACGGGGAACACCAAAATGGGCACACACATAGTATCCAAGTGGGGAATCGAACCCACGGTCTTTGGCGAGACGAGCGAATGCTTTAACCACTAGCCCACCCCACCATCCCGTACCCACATAGGAAATCCACCCGGGGTTTAGCTTGATGAACAAACACTTTAACTACTAGGCTACCCCACCCATTAACAGCAAGTAAATGTTGGTTTACAACATAGTATTCAAGTAACAAGGAGACTTGTAAATAGTCAAGGCTGTTGTAGACACAGATAGTGTATACTGTTTTTGGCATGATGATCAGGTCGGAAATTTGACCATCCGATGATCACAATTAAGTCTGTATACCATTAATCTTACTCCCAGGGGTAATGACACCTCAACTATCTGTAAACAGTTAACCAACACACAAATATTAAACCATAAACATGTCATTCTCGTATAGATTGAAAAACATTGACATCTTACCGCTCTTGTAGCAGAAGACAGAGGCATCGTCCTTGTGGGAGGTACAGGGCAATGTGAAGGGCCAGCCAAACGATGGGGCGGAATAGAGGTCCTTGTAGCCTCGGTGAGGGCATTCATGGAAATACTTTTCGTTGCCAGTACACTGTAGATGACTCAACCAGATTGGGCCAGATCCCTGCCCATAACGTGCTCTGGAGATGGCAACGCCATCGCTGAAGTTGAGCTGGCGACAGAAGACGTTGGCTTCCTTGGCATCCCAGTAGTTGTCGCATATGGTTCCCCATACACCGCCGATGCGGATTTCAGCTCGCCCGAAGAAGTCAAGTCCCGTTCCGGCAACGCGGTACTCAATACCTGAATTAGTGGTAGAAGACACATAGAGTAAAAATTGTGCTTGAAATGGTAGGATTGTGATTTATATTTTAATTTCAACCATTATCTGTGCCTGTAGGTCTTGTATTTTGGTTACCTACACTAATCACTGGATCCATTCCCGTGGTTCTTGCAATCGCAAATTATCAACCCATGGTTTCTATTAACCAATCAACCAATTGAAAGGGTTAATAATGAAGACAAACATGTCCCTACCATAGAACAGGGGATAAGTGTCAACTCTGCAAAGGAGGAAGTATTATGGTTGACCAATTACATCTTTTCATAGACACTGCTCGCTATGGACTTGCGGCATGATCAAATACTTAAGTATGGTGAAAATGACTGAAAAAGCTTGTCAATGACGATGATCTGTGCACCATGCGTGTTTATCGTACATTGTCTTTACAAATCTTTAAATGGAATGACTATGAACGATCAATTACAAAACCCTGAAGTCAACCTGGGGATGTTCCACAAAGCAATCTTAATTCCATAACTATTGGAAACCTATGTTAACATATGGGAGTTACTACCTCCTTAGGGCTAACATTGCTTTGTGGAAGGGTGCATTGGGTCTCTCATTGCCCAAAGTGATCCTACTAGCACTACTTATATCATGAATTTATGTTAAAGTATGGAAGTTCAGATCATCTTAGTGCTAAAATCACTTTGTGGATTAGATCCCAGTTCATCAACATACCCGAGTCGTTGTAGCACAGAACGGCTGCCGTGTGCTTGTTGGAGCAGTTGCCCAGGTTGGTCCGGTCAAGGTGTGGACAGTCCATCAGGTCCTTCTCTTCACCGGTGCAGTTAAACGAGCTCAGCCAGTAGGGTCCCAATTGGCGCTGTGTGGAGTATGTGCCGACGTAAGAATGCTTGTAGGCCATCCCGCCTGTATATCCCCGAGCTCCACACACCACCGAAGCGTCCTCATCGTCCCAGTCTCTGCTGCAGACACGACCCTGTACACCGTAGTGGGCTACGCGCAGCTGGCCAGAGTTCTTCTCCCCGGTGTTGATGGTCAGCGTGTAATCTGGACACGTGGAAGATGGTAAGGAGGAAATATGCATTTGATGTTAAACATGATATTATGGGGAGGGATACAGCTCCTTTTCTTGCTCATAAAAATCAGTGAGTGATTCTTGTTTTTCACCATGTTTTTTTTCAATCGGAAATCCTTACACAAAGTTAACTTTTGATGGAATAATGCATGCTTGCTTGGGGACAGGAGAAGAAGGAAAACATTGGTATATAACTTGTTAAAATTGTACATCTTTTGTAACACATAAGAGAAATAGTTCATAGCTCTTTCCTAGTTAATTCATAGTCCATGAATCAAGTCAAAAAAAAGCATCCCTTATGACCTTTGAGGAAACCACTCTTACAGTGCTCTAAGCATATATATTTGTGTAGAGGTTAGTTCTTCTTCTTCTTCATCATCATCATCATCATCATAATCATCAGTAGTTGTTGGTTGGTTGGTTTGTTGTTTAACGTCACACTCAGCAATATTCCAGCTATATGGCGAAGGTCTGTAAATAATCAAGTCTGGACCAGACAAACCAGTGGTCAACATCATGAGCATCGTTCTACGCAATTGGGATACGATGACATGTGTCAACCAAGTCAGCGAGCCTGACCACTCAATCCCGCTATCGCCTCTTATGACAAGCATGGGTTACTGAAGATTCTAACCTGGATCTTCACGGGTACAACAATAGTTGTAGTCACAGTAGTAGTGATAGTATTAGTAGTACTCACTGTCATTAACAAACTCCTGTGGGTTGTCTGAACACACCACTGAGGCGTACATCTTGCTCACACAGTCTTCTGTAATCATACACTCGGATATTGACTCCTCCTCTCCCGTACATCGCAGAGTCATGTTGGTGATGATGTCTTTGTTGTAGGAGTTGGTGTTGCCATAGGCGGAGCAGCAGATAGAACGGCCATCCTTGAAACCCAGACTCTGGCACACGACGCGGGCAGACATGTCGTTGAAGCCGGTGTCACAGACGTAATGCCAGTCTCCCCTTTGGTTCCACAGCACACCGCCATGTTGAATTGACCGTCCCACACCTGTGCTCAGCTTCACTGGAAATGTATATATGAAAATGATGATGATGATGATGATGATGATAGAGTTGAGGTGCAGAGAGCTTTAAACTTACGTTTACAGCAACTCGTCATAATGTTTGTATGCATGTATGCATAGGTGTGGATGGATGGATGTGTGTGATGTGTGTGTGTGTGTGTGTGTGCGCGCACATGTATGTGTGTGATAATGTATAACATGCCACCATTTTAACACCGATACCCACATGTATACTGAACATGCCTTGTTTTCTGCTTTTGATGCCTGGCAGAGAAGCAAGTATATGTACCATCTTTATCTTCTTTTGGTTTGACATGGCCACTACACCATTTGCTGGTTTTACAACCAGTGTCATCAGAACATATCAACAAACTCCTTCAGTGGAAAACTGTTGCCTCTATGACTGACTACAATCTTGACAAAACCATGACAAAAGAACTCATAATTCATGTTCATTCTTGATAAAACTGACAATATGCAATGATCAAGTACAGTAACCGTTGTATCACTAAGTTTTCACAATATCTGAAAATGACTGTAAAGATAAATAAAGCCACAACAAATTGTTTTGTTCATCAGAACTGCCTTAAGTGTATTCCCCTGTTTTGTGTTTTGGGGTGTGTATGGAGGTTTAAGACCACATCAGTTCACGTCATCATCCTCAAGACAGAATTGCACAAGAAGCTTCAGCAATATGTTTGAACTCAAGAAAACACAGAACATCCTTCATTGGTAAACCATTTTCATTAAATCTTTTAATCATCTGATATGAAATTGGAAAACATTCTCGAGGAAGTTAAAGGAAAGATAAAATGAAAAGGGAATAAACAGAAGAAGAGTATTATTTTGCTACGTTTAAGTGCAAAATTCGAAAATGTTTTTTATCTCCACATACCTTTAGTGTAACAGAAGACACCAGCATCTCTGGTGTGGTCCAAGCAGGACCTTGATGTTGAAACGGCCCAACCCTCATGGGGGCACTGGTTGAGTGTTTTCTCACCACCATCACATCTCAGGTTCGACTCCCAGACCGGTCCTGTGGCTGTGTCATTGTAGGACCCGTAGAAAGGATCACCATCATCAAACCCGAGGTTCTTGCAGAACACCTTGGCCTCTCTTTTGTCCCAGTACCGGTCACAGAGTGACCCCCATTGTCCATCTACGGCCACCTCCACCCGACCCCATTGGTCACCCCCTGCTGACAGGCGGTAGAACAGTCCTGGAAAGACAAGGAGGAGTGAGTGAGTGAGTATGGTTCTATGTTGCTTTTAGCAATATTCCTGCAATATCATGATGGGGGACACCAGAAATGGGCTTCACACATTGTACCCATGTGTGGAATCGAACCCGGGTCTTCGGCATGACGAAGGAATGCTTTAACCTCCAGGATATCCTACCGCCCCAATATTACCAAAGCGGAATAAAACCAAACTGACACACTCACACTTGTTGGCTGTTGGCATCACGTCCGTCCACTCATCCTCAACAACAGCACTATATTAGAGTGTGCAAGTTATTTTGGTAAATGCTGTTTTCAATGTTAATTTATACTGATAACTGCTTGTCATCCAACTGGACATTTAGCAGATTCTTAACACTTTGGTGTAAGTCATGAGACTGGGTTTCATTCTGACCGACCAAGGATCCTAATCATGTCAAATCTTGAATTTATACCGACTCCTGCAAGATCTTAACAGCTTTGGGACACAAGATTTCACGGCAAAATGCTTAGACACAGACCTCAGCATCAAACTGATCAACTTTCACCTTACAGAATTATAGATGGAGTTTTACTTGAGTTTTGTTACCTTCATTGTTAAAGCAGAGTGCTCCACCGAAATGGCCGCTGGAACACTTTGTGACGTTTCCCCATCCAATGTGAGGGCAGTCCCTCAGTGAGGTCTCGTTGCCAGTGCAGTTGACTTGGGACGTCCAGTATGGGCCTGTGTAGTCGAAGTAGGAGAAGGAGGATCTGTAGTGGCTGTAGGCCACGCCTTTACTGTAGCCCAAGGTGCTGCAGACGACAGCTGCATCTGGGTCGTCCCAGTTGTCGCTGCAGACGCGACCTTCAACATTGGCGAATGTAAGGGCCACTTGGCCAGTGTACCGTGATCCTCCACTCAGGCTGATGGTGTAGTCTGTAGAGCAGAGATGGGGTCTTAGAATCAGAAGATATATACGATCGTTTGATCATGTGTTCAGCTGACTGTCTGATTACCACTTATTCAGCCTACTTACTGTTGACTACCAAATGTACAGCCGCCTTACAATTGGACTACCACATGTACGTCCTACTTACTATTGGACAACAACATTTGATTGGCACATGTTCAGCTGACTTTCAGTTTGACCACCATGTGTACTGCCTTCTTACTATTCGACAACAACATTTGATTGGCACATGTTCAGCTGACTTTCAGTTTGACCACCATGTGTACTGCCTTCTTACTATTTGACAACAACATTTGATTGGCACATGTTCAGCTGACTTTCAGTTTGACGACACCATTGGCACATGTACTGCCTTTTACTATTCGACAACAACATTTGATTGGCACATGTTCAGCTGACTTTCAGTTTGACCACCATGTGTACTGCCTTCTTACTATTCGACAACAACATTTGATTGGCACATGTTCAGCTGACTTTCAGTTTGACTACCATGTGTACTGCCTTCTTACTTATTTGACAACAACATTTGATTGGCACATGTTCAGCTGACTTTCAGTTTGACCACCATGTGTACTGCCCACTTACTATTCGACAACAACATTTGATTGGCACATGTTCAGCTGACTTTCAGTTTGACCACCATGTGTACTGCCTTCTTACTATTTGACAACAACATTTGATTGGCACATGTTCAGCTGACTTTCAGTTTGACTACCATGTGTACTGCCTTCTTACTATTCGACAACAACATTTGATTGGCACATGTTCAGCTGACTTTCAGTTTGACTACCATGTGTACTGCCTTCTTACTATTTGACAACAACATTAGATTGGCACATGTTCAGCTGACTTTCAGTTTGACTACCATGTGTACTGCCTTCTTACTATTTGACAACAACATTAGATTGGCACATGTTCAGCTGACTTTCAGTTTGACTACCACATGTACGTCCTACTTACTATTTGACAACAACATTTGATTGGCACATGTTCAGCTGACTTTCAGTTTGACTACCATGTGTACTGCCTTCTTACTATTTGACAACAACATTAGATTGGCACATGTTCAGCTGACTTTCAGTTTGACTACCATGTGTACTGCCTTCTTACTATTTGACAACAACATTAGATTGGCAAATGTTCAGCTGACTTTCAGTTTGACTACCACATGTACGTCCTACTTACTATTCGACAACAACATTTGATTGGCACATGTTCAGCTGACTTTCAGTTTGACTACCATGTGTACTGCCTTCTTACTATTCGACAACAACATTTGATTGGCACATGTTCAGCTGACTTTCAGATTGACCACCATGTGTACTGCCTTCTTACTATTCGACAACAACATTTGATTGGCACATGTTCAGCTGACTTTCAGTTTGACCACCATGTGTACTGCCTTCTTACTATTTGACAACAACATTTGATTGGCACATGTTCAGCTGACTTTCAGATTGACTACCATGTGTACTGCCCTCTTACTATTCAACAACAACATGTACTTACAGTCTTGACTATGTGTACAGCCTACTTACTGTTTGACCGTACCCGTGAAGGTCTGAGTTAGAATATTGATCTTCAGTAACCCATGCTTGTTGTAAGAGGCGACTAACAGGATCAGGGGGTCGGCCTCGCTGACTTGGTTGACACATGTCATCGGTTCCCAATTGCGCAGATCGATGCTCATGCTGTTGATCACTGGACTCGATTATTCATAGACTGCCGCCATATAGCTGGAACATTGCTGAGTGCAGTGTAAAACTAGACTCACTCACTCACTACTGTTTGACCACCTCATGTACTTAATGTTTGACCACCTCATGTACTTACTGTTTGACCACCTCATGTACTTAATGTTTGACCACCTCATGTACTTACTGTTTGACAGAGTGTCGTTGTAGCAGGCCACTGAGGCGTAGTTCTGTCTGTAGCAGAGTGAGGTACGCTGACGAGAGGAGAACTTGCATTCTCGTATTGAATTCTCTTTGCCTGTACACCGGAGGTCAGCTATACGGCGTCGTCAAAGTTGAAGCCGTAGGGGTTGCAACAGAGAGCCAGTCCTCCAGTCATCCCCAGTTCCCGGCATATCACAGCTGTGGACATATGAACAACACACAGTAACTGTGTAGTCCTTCTCATAACCAGTGCTGACACAATACAGCCTTAGATTATAATATTCATAGATCATAAGTTTTAATTATGTTTAATCATTTTAGTTTCAAGATTACACAATTGCTTGTTGAAATACAGGACAAAATACAGTCAGGCCTCGTTAATACGAACACTTTGGTTTTTTAAAAAAAACGTTCGGATAGTGAAACGTTCGGACTGCTGAAACCACAGTATATGCACCGAGTTACTTCCCCTTGATACAACTACAATTTAAATAAAATTGTTTTTGAATGAAAATGCAAGTTTACATTTATAACGTCCAGATAAACCACGAAAGAAGCAAAAACTATGGCGATTTTTTTTCCATTTGTGACATGTCATAACATGCCTGTGCCTTTTTCTTTTATATTTTCATTTTTACGTCATCAGAAAATTATTATAAAAAGATTTCTTAAATAATATGTATGGTCGCCTATTTCCCGATATCTGTGGCTTTCCGCTCGGTAACATGACATAACAACGGAAAATACCTCCGTTTTCGGAGCGTCGTATGAATAACATGGGAGGCGAATCGTTTGATGTCGGGTATCATGTGAAAGCTCTGACCATCAACAACATCACTAAACCATATTGCCGAGAGTATTTCCACAGTTGTAAGAAGCGATTTTATTGGATAAAAATTGGTTTCTAATGACGCTTTTTCGCTACAGTCTGCTATAAGGGTCGTGATTGGTCAAAATCAGACACGTGACCCAAGGCAGCCAATCATATTACGGCAATGGATACCGTCCTCGTAAACGAAAACTTTTAGATTTAGACGAAAGTTTGGGGTAAAATAATGCTCTTTTGAACATATTAAGCAAGAAATCGCTACCTATACGTAAATTATGGAACTTATTGGACGTATCGTGCTAGGTTATGACCTGTGACAAAAATGCTTCATGTATATATTTTGTTTATTTTATTCATTAGGTTATTCTATTTATTTAATGAATTCCTCGAAACATCGTTAATTTTAATTCGTGTTGAAACGGTACCGAGCATATATTTCTGGATTGAAGTCTTTCCCAAAACAGCGTGGTCGTCGAAATTTCCCTATCACTTCTGATAAAGGGATCAAAGGGATGAGTCGCTAAGTCGCTAAACAAACAACATGTCACTTTGGGTGGACCAGTCAGCAGCGCAGTCAACTTCAATCGTTCGGATTAACGCAGCTGTTTACAACTTAATTAGTCCAATCCGTTCCGACTGACCAGCGTTCGGAGGCGGAAACTGAATCTTCGGACTAACGAGGTGTCAGTTATATACAATATATAGGGAGATGATTTGGTGCCCAGTGAGTAGCGTTCGGAAGTCGGTGGATTCGGATTAACGAGGACCGGATTACCGCGGCCTGACTGTAATCATGCATATGCAATAATCATACGAATAAATAGCAATGAAATGTAAGAAACAGTTATGTAATGATACAACTAACCCTGATAAGATACGTATCACACCACTTTGTTCAAGATACAATAGATATTGGGATACTTAATTTGTAGTAATTTTACTTGAATTTCAATTTTCATGGGACACTATCTCAAAACATCCTGAGTATCAGACTTCTTATTTGAAAATATTAATGTCTCATATCAAACATTTCTTTATCTCAGGTAAAACTGAAAACAAAACAAGTGCATCAGAATTTAAGTCTTACAAGTTTATGTGATGTACAATGTATATATAGCATAAATTAACTTTGATAAATTTTTATTATCAATACATACTTTAAAGGTCACATAAACCCTAGGGGGTACAAATACATAAATCACTAACTGGCATCGTTATAAATGAAACCCCGTCATTAAAACTACTCATTTCGACCTTTAATTGACTTAAATCGACCTTTTTGACAACAGTGCACAATTCTCACCCGCGAACGAAATTTCAACCAATCAGAGCGGAGCCTCTGTGACGCCATATGAGGAATAGCTTTGAGGGTCGATGCAGAATTCATCTACATTTTAGGGGTTAAATTATCTTGTTTACAGGCTTGTATAAACCTGAAATCGTGACAATTGTTGTGGAAAATGAAAGCTATATGTTCTCACAATCTACTGTCATTTAATTTTGTCTCCTGCTTTGCCTAGTTTCCGAAGTTACAACTTGTTTTCATAGACGATTCTATCAAAATCGATTGGTGTCGTTAGGCCCTATTTGTATAATGACTGATCTAAATTGATCCCATTTCTGTGTTTTTACCTCGATATTTAATCATGTCATGTAAAAATCTGTTTGTATTCTCAAAACAGTGTCGGCCCATAAGTTTTCACATGCAATACAGCAATTAATACTCCCTTGTTGTAACCCGTGTTAGGTGGTATAAACCCTACATGTTATTTGTCATCATTCACTTGATGGTCAGTTAATGAATTTATAACAGGTATAATTAGTGGTAACACACTTTAGATTACCCGACAAAGGTTCCCATTTGGCATTTCTTTGTGTCTGGAGTAAATATTCAACATTATAAACATCGATCAAAGGATTAACCGATAACACGCTGATTGATTAATTACTTTTATCTTACACAGCGGAATTGTCAAAAGGTAGGGTTTATGTATGTAGATTTACTAAACTATACTGAATACACTCTGTCGTGGTCGGTGTCTGGCGTAAAACAACGTCCTTCTTTCAAAGGATTAACCGGCAATACATTGATTGATTGCCCATTATTGGCTAACTAAATTACTGTTTTAAAGAAAAGGCGGACATTATGCAATTAGTTGCCAGGTGTGCTATCTTGGGTGACCAATGAGACTATACACCAATACCTGAAAAGATTTTATCACTTTTTCGTATATTAAACTGTTAAAAGACACATCATTTGGAACAGTTTGTGGATATTGATGGATACATTCCTCTAACAAGGTAATGGCCTGATATTGTTCCTATAACTTTAATCTGTTTTAATTTTAATATATTTGCATTTTGTTTTTATTCATTTGTCGTAGCATTCAACAGAATCATTGTTTTCTAGCGTGAAGTGTAATGAGACAGACAACATGCACTAGGGTGTGTGTGCGAATTATGATTCACATTGGCAAACTATACAATGTCTAGATATTACAGTTCTGTTATAAATTCACTATAAGTATCAGCAGATCGTCTGCTTTTTATTTAGTTTCAAAATGCATACAAGTATGATAATAAACTAATTAGGATTATAAGACCAAATATAAAGACATACATTGACTAGTATCTACATACTGGTGAGTGGACATTAACCATGGGAATGTAGCAAGACATTTATCGCAAGAGTATTGTGACTTCGACCCCCACCTCGCTTCGTGGAAGAAATCGTTATGTTATAAGTTGTGTCATGCAAAATCCGTTTGGTTATGATTCCAATACATATTTAACTACTGGTAGAAAGTAATCTTGATTTTCTAACTTGATGAAAACAAACTATAATCTCATTAATTCTAACAGATTTTTATTTTTAAAAATGGCGGCGCCCTGTCGCTAACATCCGCCAGTCTGAGGATAAATGGTATTTAGGTTTGTTTTCACCGAAGTTACTAAAATCAAAACAACTTTCTACTGGTAGTAAAATATGTATTTTATTGATGGCCAATAGGATTTTGCATGACATAGCGTTATAACATAACAATTTCTCGTGGCAGCGAGGTGGGTGTGAATATAATACTACTTACAATATTATTGTTACTTCGACCACAACCTCACTTCCGAGGAAGAAATCGTTATGTTACGAAGTTGTGTCATAGAAAATCTTTATGGTCATCAATCATATGCATATTTTACTACAACTAGTAAGTAGTTTTGATTCTTTAACTTCCGTGAAGCGATCATCTGAACACAAGTAAGATATCGCTTCAGGCTTCCACAACGCGCTTCAAGACTCACAAACATAACCCATTTAGCAATTTAACTGCGGGTCCTGTGGAAATCTGTGCATGGGGACACCATCGCCCGACCCCTAGGAGCAATTGACTGACAAAGCAACGATTCGGCATGTCGCCGTTGATGTCGAGAAATCACCAAAATGATGAGCGTGCTACACATTTTCTATACAACTAACTGAAAATCGTTCCTCATATGACGTCACTGCAGTGCTCTGGCGACAGAGTTACGTAACCTGTCTGCGGTTTCGTTGGCGGGCGAGAGTGAAGCAGGCGACTTTTTGGCCACTTTTAATCGCTCGGTATTAACTAACCACAAGTTTTTAAAGAATAAATTTGGTGTTCCGCATAAGACTAACCACAAATCTCTCATATGTAATGGTTAAAAGAGTAACAAAAAACAAAGTTTATTGGTTCTTTAACAAAATTATTTTAATAACTTCTTACATCAGCATTAGATAACACACTAGTGTTGGGAATTGGTTAAAATCTCATAATTGATGATTGGTTCATTACTACCGATCAATCATCGAAAATAATTGGTTAGCATCATTTATGAAATTTGTTAATGCACATAAAAATAAGGAAAAAAAACATGTAGTTCTTTGGGGTTGTTTTTGGCAAAATTTTACATCTTTAAAGGATGACTAGTATCTTAGGAACATAAATTTCTTGGAATCTTTAAGATAAATTCAATCATGATTTGAAACGAGCTTGTAGTGCTTACGAAATATAACAGACAAAACCAACCATGTGAAAAATATTGTTAATGAAAACAAGTGTTCCAGAATTGTTTGTGTTCGATTATGAGAAAACATGATCGATTGCTTGGTCGTTTAGTCACTACGACCAATCTTCAATTATTTCAATTAATCGGACCACCACTATAACACACGTTGTTATATCAACACACCACAACATTTTAAAGTATTTACTGAATGGTCAACATCTTCAGCAAATTTCAAGCCATCTTAATTCATTGAAGCTCAGGTGCTATGTAATATTGCTTTGCTTTGACCTTGGTGGTAAATTTGGTACACTCAAACACTACGACATTCAATTTCTGTGGAAGTGACAATATGACAGGAATGGTAGTACTCACTTGCGTCTCGGTTATCGAAATCCTTAGAGCATATGGCACCCCACACTCCATTGTTGTAGACTTTGACGATACCATTGGTCTTGCTGTCTCCGCGTTCTATTCGGACTGGAAAATAGAACATATCTCTCGAGCATTAAACACATGTAACACAACCTTAGATAGTATGTAGCACATTTATGGGGCGCCTTTACACACATAATGTAGCTCACACAGAACATAGTTCACATTCATTACGTTGTGTAAAAACAAAGTAGCTCACACATATTGTCCAGCTTACATATCATACATTTCTCAAACGTTACATAACTTGAACACTTATTGTAGATCACCATACAACCTTTATATCAATTTCAACTTTCCATTTTCCACTCCTTCCACAGCTCACACACATTGTACCTGTCATATACTGTGTAACTTACACACAATACACAAATTTGCACACACTGTGTGTAGCCCATACATATCATGCAGTTTACACACATTACGCAGTTTCTACATCCCGTGCAGCTTGTATATATCGCTTAAAACTTTGGAGAATTTACACATCCAATGTAGCTGACACACAATGCCTAGATCACAGATCAGAATACATAAATCAGAATCCGAAAAGTTTTTCGCTTTTTCAACATGTTAATTTCATCTGATAACAAACTTTACATTTTCAACCACGGCAGTACCACTCCAGCAAAATTAACTGCATTCAAATACCTGAAGAGACAAACTGTGACAGCCATCTTACATGTCAAGATATAACACATTGCCATACCTCCTCTGAAGCAGCTGACTGATACGGCAAACGTCGCAGGGATGTATCTGTTTCTCTCTGGGTCCCACACCACCTGACACTGGTGCACTGCGGCCTCGGAGCCTGTGCAGTTGACGTAGGAGGCTAAGATGTTGCCCCTGAGGCTGGAGGAGGATGGGGAGCGCCACAACACCTGGCCTGCCACCATGCCGATGCTGCGACAGAAGACGCTGGCATCCTTGTCGTCAAACTCCAGACGGGAAATGTAGCCCCACTGACCGTTAATATTAAGCTGGGCGATCCCTTTGTCTCCAACTGACCCTGGAGCCATCCTGTACTGAACACCCTCTGAAACAGACGATGTAAATGGTTTGAGTTTCGAATATCTGGCTATGACTTTTCACATTACAAAATGACTGAGAAAGGCGTGGTGACCACTGATGGATTCTGACACAAATGAAGCACAACCAGGAAGATACGGTTAGGTCTGATCTTCAGCAACCTATGCTTGGCCTGAGGTGAGGTGAGGTGAGGTGAGGTGAAATTGGGTTTTACGTCGCGCTGGAGAATATTTCGCTCATATGACGACGTGCATGCGTGTGTATGTGTAGGTGCGGCTGCTTGTACTAGCCAGACTGAAGCTGGTTTTATAGTGCTAGCCCACTGAGATACCATGCCGCAGTGAAGCATGAATACCCCACTCAGACACATTATACTGACTCCGAGCCGACCAGTCCTTGTTGAACCCATTAATGCCGAGCGCCAGGCAGGGACCAGCAAGTACCATATTTTAACGTCTTTTGGTATGACGCGGTCGGTGATCGAACCCGCGACCTTCCGCTCTCTGGGCAGACGCTCTAACCACTACACCACGGAGGCGGTCTGCTTGACCTGAGAGGTGATTGACAGAAAATACTACACCATAGAGATTTTGACTTGGTTATACATTTTCATATAACGCTATATATCAATAGAACAGAGGTCAAGTTAACAAGGTTTCATTCATTGGCTTTATAGTTTTAACTTTCAACTTAAGTAAGACATGTTATGCCATAGATGACAGATTGGTTTGTTTCTTTTTAGCAACAACACCTAAACAGAACTGCAAATGGGATGTGACCTAAATCTGTCTTGAGCAGTATTTCTCCAACAGTGTGTCAGCGCGACCATGCAGATCTTACATGTTTTAAAACATCATAGAATTGTGTAGAAAAACTACATATTTATTTCCTTACACTGGGATATGTTTTCATACACAAAACATATTGGAGCTAAAAGGGATGTATGAAGTTTTCTCGAATTTGAGACAAGTTGAATGACAACATTACACTACTGTGAATAAGGACAGTCATAACGGTTCCTCGGCGTTTTTTGTAAGAGGCAGCTAACACGGACTGGTGATCAGGCTCATTGATGTGGGTGATGCAGGTCATCGTAACTATGATTGTTCATGAGGTCAGTCACTGGATTGTATGGTCAAGACACTAGATAATTACAGTCCGCCACCATATTGCTGGAATATTGCTGAGCGCGGCATTGAACAACAAACATGGAAATAAAACCATAAAGTAAATACCGAATACATAAATTTGAATTAACCAGGATCTCTGAAGTTGGATTCCACAGCTTACCTCCTGAGTTGCTACACAACACAGCTGCCCCAGCCCTGGACTCAGCACATCCGTGATGTGTGTCGAAGTCATCCCGGCTGCAATCATTGAAGTTGGTATCGTCGTCTCTGCAGACCACGTTCCCCATAATGATGGGCATGCCAAGGGGGATAGCTGAGCCCGGAATCGCAACACCTCCGACATATCCCAGTTGTCGACATGCAGAAATGGCTTCAGTATCATTCCAGCTCTCTCCACAAATGGCTCCCCAGATGCCATATCGGCTGACATTCACCATGCCTGTGAACCCATTCTTTGGCAGGCTGATTTTAAGAACTGGAACAAAAAACTGGTTATGAGTGAGTTGAAAAAGTAAGCAAACCCTTTTTTCATAATTATAAGGAATCTCCAACAAACTGACTGACTGAGTTTGCTTTTACGCCGCTTTTAGCAATATTCCAGCAACATCACGGCGGGGGACACCAGAAATGGGCTTCACACATTGTGCCCATGTGGGGATTCGAACCCGGGTCTTCGGCGTGACGAGCCAACGCTTTAACCATTAGGCTACCCCACCGCCCATCTCCAACAAAAGAGTTCATTGTATGATTCCGACTATATCATCGGCAAATGTGTTTGAACCACGGTAAAATGATACCAGGTGCTCACGAAACGTGAGTATATCCTGCCAAACTTGTGGCATCTATCACAAAGCCATGCAAAGGCAAGTCAAGTATTCACCTGAAACAACATGGAAGCATATGGTACAAGTAATAACGGCTCATGAACATGTTCACTCTGTAACTGGAACAGTGGAGCCCAATTTTTCAGCATTCAAAATTTGTTTCAATTCTAATCCTTTTTCTTTTTGTGTACGTCTGAAAACAATCAACAGGAACATGATGACAAACTAACATTGGAGTACATTCAAATGATGTAATGGAATGTACATTTTTAACTCAAATACATGTATGTATAGCTTGGAAAAACTGAACTGCCATACTCTGCCAAGTGAGCTAGTGAGAGAGTATGGTTTTAAGCTGTTTTTAACAATATTTGAGCAATAGTACAGAGGGTAACCCAGGTATTATTCTTCTTGTGCTTCTTGGGAAATCAAACTAGGGCCTTTGGTGTTATAAGCTACCACCTTAACCACTGGACTAAAACTCTGCCTCTGGGCAAAGCATGTTTGAAGTTTCCAGGCAAACCAATTGGATTCGGAGTATCTTTCTAACACACAACCTTTCTAGGAACTTACCTTCAGAGAGTTCAGTAGTGCTGCATGCCACGGACACGTAACTGGCACATTCCCCAGTCGGGGCTATGGTACAGTTGGCTAGCATCTGCTCATGACCTTCACATGTGATCCTGGTGACCTTAGGATCCATGGACCTCGGAAGGTTCCCCAGAGCGGAACAGCACTGTCTCTTTCCTTTGTTGTAGCCCATCTGATGACACGCTACCTCCGCTGAATTATCGTTGAAGCCGTTGTCACACACTGAAGCCCAGGTCCCGTTGAGCTTAATTTCAAGTCGGCCGTAATCTGTGCGTCCGTTGATGTCTCCAGATAGACGCACTGGACAAATGGAAAAAACATGGGTGAAGTGAACTGGGGTTTAATGTTTCATTCAAGATTATTGCACATGTACAGCAATGTGCATGCATGTCTGTGTGTCTGGCTGCATGTACCATCTTTGGTGTCACTTAATGCCAAGCACTGGCTGGCATGAAACAACAAGTACCATCTTTGGTTTGAACTGATGACCCTGAGCTAGCCAGTCCTTGTTCTGTTCCCTTTATGCCAAGCACCAAGCACTAGACAGGGAAGCAACAAGTACCATCTTTGGTTTGAACTGATGACCCTGTGCTAGCCAGTCCTTGTTCTGTTCCCTTTATGCCAAGCACCAAGCACTAGACAGGGAAACAACAAGTACCATCTTTGGTTTGAACTGATGACCCTGTGCTGGCCAGTCCTTGTTCTGTTCCCTTCATGCCAAGCACCAAGCACTAGACAGGGAAACAACAAGTTTACATCTCTTGGTTTGACCAGACCAATGATCAAAACCTAGACTTTCTGCTCTCGAGGCAGACTCACGTTTCACTTCGTTGCAAACTATTTGGTCCACAAATAAATTGAAATAAAGAGAAATGGGGTTTAACTTTATGTTCAAGGTTATTCCACTAACATAGCAACCAGTATGCAAGTGTGTTCACTTGTACTAGTCAGGACTAACATTGTCTATACAGTACCAGCTCACACAGATACCATGCTGCAGTTTAACCTGGATACCCTACTCAGACATACTAAACTGACCTTGAGTTAGCCAGTCTTGTTTTTATAATGCTTAATGCAAAACAGTGAAACAAGAAGTAACATCTTTAAAGTCTTTTTTGCAACAGATGCTGTCCATTATAGGCAGTCTGGAGGCTGCGATAGGGTGTATATTGAATACAAAAGGTGTATAATAAATGTGTGGAGTTCACACTAGGTACTACAGTGCATAAGTGAGTTTTTAGTCCTCAGGAGTGAGTGAGTGAGTTGGGCTTTATGACGTTCTAGCAATATCACGCTGGGGGACACCTGAAATGGGCTTCACACATTGTGCCCATGAGGGGAATCGAACCCGGGTCTTCAGTTTGACGCGTGAACGCCTTAACCTCCAGGCTACCCCAGCGCCCCCTAGTCCTCAGGAGATAATACCACCACTAAGTACTGCTAGCTATAGAATATCAGACGAAGAAGTGGTTTGAGAGGTTTATATAAGATTGTTTGAGGTTCTACTTTATTAGCTTTGAATAGAATTGCAGTTACTTCAATGCTTGTAAGATATATCTTTAGAGCTTAAACGGTTACAAGATGCTATATTGAAAACCTACAGGGCATGGTGCATAAAGATACAGGATTTTAATTGCAGAGAGAAGGGATTTGAACTCATAATGAACGAAATGGCAGCTAAGGGACACAATTCTACAGTGAACTGTGTCACCTTATACCACAGTGCCACCTGTGCACTCTTTATGAGAGTTGATGATGAGATTAGTTCTTCAGAAAAGACACATTTGAAAAGGGGAGCAAGGCATTAAAAGACTGCTGTATGTGAGGAAACAGAAATGGCATATTTCAACAGTGATCAGGCTACAATAAGAGTTCTCACTGGATACAACAACAGCAACAACAGCAACAACAACAACAGCAACAACATTGTCGTTACATGGTAGTTTTTTTCAATCTGAGTTTCCAAAGAGCTCTTTTGGCTTTACATTGTTTTTGGCACTTGTTAATTTTCTGGACATACTGTACTTATTATAGTAATCATTCATGATCAACAGGGGACCAAAAATGTTGTTTATGAAAAATGATTAAACGTTAATCAAAGGTGAAAATTAATTTGTTGTTGTATCGAAGCTACTAGAGGCATGGAGAAAATACAACATGTTGACTTGAAACTCACCTGGGATTGTACCTGTTTAAACGTAATGGGTAACACACACTTCAACTTAATAACGAAAGCAAAGTATGATCTAAAATCAAATAAACATCAAAGTAATGAGCTGAATGAGCTAAACAAGTCTTTGGTGGGTGAGTGCATGTTCCTTAAGTCTGTAGTGAACAATGTTTCAGTTACCGTAAATTACCGTAGATAAGCCGACCCCCTCACTTGAGCCTTAAAATCAGTATCAAAATGGTATGTTTCGTACATAAGCTGACCCCATTGCGATGGGGTGCTAATTACAGACAACTCAAACCAGGCAAACTTCCAGGCAGGTGTAAACTGTAAGACCGTCCTGATGTTTCGGACTTTCCGTAGATAAGCCAACCCCCTTCTGCAGACTGCTTCTGTTTTGGTCCTCAAAATTTGGCTTATCTATGGTAATATACTATTCACACTTTGCTAAGGATCAAATCATGGATTCAACAGAAAACTATGATGTGGGGTCAAATTTGGTTTAAATATCTAAGCATATTGTTAGCATGGATCCTAGGTTTCAGTATGTCACTGCATCTTGTGGATCCCATACCTGCTATTGACAGGTGTTGTTTATTTGTCAATGACTCGTTCCATGATTTGCAAAATGGTTGATTGGTGCCATGAAAACCATTCTTATTGTTACTCATGTATCAAGTGCATAAGGTTAGATTTAAGTGGTTGTTTGCCTAAAGAGGGGTTACCATATCATTATTTATCCAGTTTTCAAATTATAAATCAATGTTTAAGTAAAGTTGTGAATTATTGTGATCCTTATCAAAGTGTGAGTAGAGTACATGGTACATCACGCTGGACTATGACTAATTGATACAGGACCAGGAAAGAAATCTTCCCTATTACTGCCTTGCCGAATATACTATTCAACATATGCTAAGGATATTCTGACAGTGGGCCATAGCTGTGAATTATACTGACTGACTGAGTGAGTTTGGTTTTACGCCGCTTTAAGCCATATTCCAGCAACATCACGGCGGGGGACACCAGAAATGGACTTCACACATTGTACCAATGTGGGGAATCGAACCCAGGTCTTCGGCGTGATGAGCCAACGCTTTAACCACTAGGCTACCCCACCGCCCCCTGTGAAATATAAACATGGACATGGTGTCATACAAATCGTATCCCATGTTGCCATGCAACTGGAGCATGTTTTGCTCAACTGTGACAGTTAATGTAAGTAAGTACACGACTCCAGTACTCCACTTGCAGTCCATAATGAAATCGCCCAGTATCCTTCTAAAATGTTAAGTTATCATGTTGGTATTTGACAAATAATGTAAACCAGAGTACGATCCAACTGTCCTGACATGTTCTTACCAGTGGAGTGGCACTGTATAACGGCGTCGTACAGGTGTGATTTACACAAGTCGTCGTCCTCACCGAAGCCTGTCAAGGGGCAGTCGAAGATACTGCTCTCATTCCCAACACAGTCTAACTGGTTGATCCACACGGGACCTACAGTCTTCCCCCGACTTCCGGCTTTACCCGCGATGCCTGATGGATGATTCATGTCCTTGCAGATCAGGCCAGCAACGTTGTCATCAACGTTGATACCGCAAATGCTGCCCCATGTTCCGTTGATGTTCACTTCCACGCGACCCTCGAGGCGTGTAGCCCGCCCTCAATACGGAACCGTGGTTTAGCAATACCTGAATCATTTGATACTGTGATAGAGATATGGAGGAACATGACTTGAAGATATATATATATATTTATTATATGGAGCTGACAAACCTAGAAATATAGTTGGGTGGACAGAATTTGAACCCATGATAATGAGTTTCAGTTGTGACCAGGGGACATAACTCTGCTCAGCGAGTTGAAGTGCCTAAGATGACAGCCACCTGTGCCTTAAGTGAGTGAGCGAGTATGGTTTTACGCCGTTTTTAAGCAATATTCCAGCAATATTGCTGCGGGGTACACCAGAAATGGGCTTCACACATTGTACCCATGTGGGGAATTGAACCCAGGTCTTCAGCGTGACAAGCGAATGCTTTAACCACTAGGCTACCCCACCGCCCCTCCCTAAGGGAAGCAGAGAACAGTGTATAGTTCAAGTATAGTCACTGGAGAAGAGGATATTGCAATATTTCATCAATCTGTAAATAATCAAGTCAGCAAACTAGTGGTTGACAGCATGTGCAACAGTCCATGCCAACCACAAAATGATGCTACACATCATTTAAAAGCACACCTTGTCACCATGCTTTAGTTTGCACTTAGGGGGACACATATGCACACACACACAATCACCCCCCTAGTCATAAATTATGATCGGTCCCTTACAATAGGCACAGGGGACCTTGTCGCACACCATGACAATGGGGACATATGGTAAGATTCACACCTGCCTCTGTGAGCTTGTGAACTGGTATTTATGCCAATTTGAACAATTTCCCAGGAAAATCAGAGCAACGGGTTATTGGGGAAGAGGCGGGGGGAGATATCAGATAGGTTCTTCAAACATTGTCCCCATGCATGGAGTCAAACCAGTGTTAACACTCAACCCATCAGGCTATCTCACCATCCCAAACACATCTCACCTGGGGATCTATAACAAAAGGCTGCTGCATCTGATCCTCTGTCACAAGGGTTAATCTGATTCCACGTGATCCCGGGGCACGTCTCCAGGAGGTTTTCTTCACCTGTGCAATTCAGGTTAGTCATCCACCTTAATTCCTTCACGAAACTCCGCCTGTTGTTGTTAATTCGTTTGTAGGAAAATCCACCATTGGTCATTCCGATCTCTCTGCACACGACCTTGGCATCATTGTCGTCGAATCCGTTGGGACATATAAGTCCATCGTGGCTGAAGTGGCGGAGGACCACTCTGCCGGTTGTCCCGTTGTCGAGCTTCACGATGTATGCTGTTTCAAACAATGGAGACAGGTGTCTTTATAAACTGAATGAGGTTTCAAGTCCTGAAGTGTCACCTTTACTCATAAATGGTTCAAATATATAACAGAAACATTTTGAAGACAATGATCACATTTCGCAAAGCTAAAAACTAACATTCAAATTGATGTTTGGCAGTCATAATTCATTTCATTTCACAGACACAATATGTACACCTAAAAACATCTTAGACAACATTAATATTATTTAAATCATTTGAGTGGACTAATCACTTGGTACCTTAAGTGATTTTTTTTTGCAAGAAAACTATTTAAATAATTCATAATCAAATTGTTAAACAACAGGGCAAATAATGGTTGGCAAATGCAAGGCATCTTCAAGATACCTTATTGAATGTTGTTGCTGCTACAAGGCAGTTAAAGAATTTTGCAAAACAAAATTGTTAATTGTTCTCACAGGGGCTAGTAACGCTAAAAACTGCTATCAAGTTATATACTGTCACATACAGGGTCTTAGTATTATATATAGCGTTACAAGCCATTGTGATTGTACTCACCATTTGATGTATCAGTGACATTGGAGCAGACGACAGATGCGTAATGGTTGGAGCTGCATTGCGAGGTCTTGGTATGCGAACAGTCCATCACAGATGCTTCTTCTCCAGTACACTTGAGGTCGCCTATAGCAATGGACTTGCCCATATCACCAAAGGCAGAACAGCAAAGAGCCTTTCCGTCTGGGTAGCCCATCTGACGACAGGCGACCTTGGCCTCTGTGTCTGTGAATCCCGCCGAGCAGACAAGGCCGTAGGAGTAGCCTGTCCAAATCTCCAGTCCACCAAATTGTGGTTTCGGTTCGAGGCGCACTGTGAATTGTAGAATTGTATTACATGAGTTATTAAGTGGAAGGGACTTTACACCATATGGCAATATTCGATGGGGGACAGCAGATATTCCTTCACACAGCTGTATCCATGTTTGAATTCAAACCTTTCTATCTGGGTGACAAGCAAAGACATTAACAGCTAGGCTATCCCATTGGAGACAAGCATACATAGTCTTGAATTGACATCAAGCATACATTTTACGTCAGCTTCAAATCAAAACTGCAAGCCAACATTTTAGTCACTTGACTACCCCACAGGCCATGTTCAGAATTAAACAAGAGTCATCATCAGATGACAAATCTCCCCACAAATTGGAAAGAACAAATCATCTGACAGTTACAAGTCCAACTTGTTTTTTTAGACTAAGTCCAAATCGTTTCCATGGAAACTGAGAAAAATAAAAATGCCAAAAATCTGTAAATAGCGTAAGGCACCACTTTGGGTTCTGCCTCGATTATCTGGCAGGTTTTGTTGAAAGATATGAAACAGTTTTCGAGTTGTGCCCACCCCTCCCTTTTGAGACTAAGTCTGAATCGTTTCCATGCAAACCGAGAAAACTAAAAACGCCAAAAATCTGTAAATAGCAAAAAAAGGCACCACTTCAGTTACTGTTTGATATATCTAACAATTTTTGCAAAAAAAAAATATTAAACGGTTTTTGAGTTATGCTCCTGAAACGAAGCCCACCCCTCCCTTTTGAGACTAAGTCCAAAACGTTTCCATGGAAACCGAGAAAAAGAAAAATGACAAAAATCTGTAAATAGCAAAATGCACCACTTTAGATTCTATTTGATATATCTACCAATTTTGTTTAAAATTATTGAACGGTTTTTTAGTTATGTTCCGGAAACGATTACGGACGGACGGCCAAACAGACGGACGAGGCATTCACTATATCCCCTCGCATTATATGCCGAGTGGGGGATAAAAATGGTATTTGGCGTAATGACTGACCAGGAAATCCGGTGACTTATTTTGTTAGAAATGATGAACGCCGTCGGGAACACCTATCAACAAAACCACACATGACTGTCGGTGCCCTCTCACAGCCTGCGTCAGTTGCTGTGATCAATTCTAATCCGGATTTCCTAAGGGCGGTCTTATGTTTGTTGTCGAAGACAGGTTTTTCGGTGACGAGAAAACGTTTCATAGCTTCAAGATAGGCTCCCCCACCCTTCACAAATCACTGTAGCAATAGAAAGTATTCGTTAAGCTCATAAATTCGGGTTAGTCATAGTCATCTCTGCCGATTCCATTGTACGATTCTGACTATAATGAGCTAATATTTATGAATTATTAGCTCGTAGTGTTGACTAAGGGTAACTCACCCCTTGGGAAGCAGTAGACCCCTGCATCGTTGTCGTGGTCGTGGCAGTAGCCGGCGCTGTTGTTCCAGCCACGGTTCGGACAGGTGTAGATCGACTTGTCATTAATGCGGCAGCGCATCTCATCCATGTACACAGGTCCAGAGCCACGCCCATACCTGGACTGAGCGTAAGCGATACCTTCCACAAAGCCCAGTTGGCGGCAAAGTGCGCGTGCGTCGTATCTTGACCAGACATAGTCACAAATTGTGCCCCATACGCCGTCATAAGAAATCTCCACCCGCCCGAAGTTCTTGCCTCCATCGGCCAATCTCACCTGAATACCTACAAAAAGCCAGCCAAATCTCAGAGCAGAAGTTTAGCCGTATTCCAGCAATGTCGCGAATAGTACTACCTAAATGGGATTCACACAAACAATATTTTGCCGTCAGTCGGAAATGAGAATACAAACCAGTGAGTGAGTTTAGTTTCACGCCGCACTCAGCAATATTCCAGCTATATGGCGGCGGTCTATAAATAATCCGAGTCTGGACCAGACAATCCAGTTATCAACAGCATGAGCAATCAACATCAGCGAGCCTGATCACCCGATCCCGTTAGTCGCCTCTTACAACAAGCATGGGTTCTGAAGATCAATTCTAACCCGGACCTTCACGGGTAGAATACAAACGAATACTACCAAATTGACCCAACTATGTTCTCGTACCAAATATGTGACTATACAGTAGAACAGACTGTAACAATGTTTTTAATACTGAGCATTAATTTAACCAATTTAGGCAAACAGAATCAACGTAATTTGTTGAGTGAGTGAAAAGGAAATACGATGTTTTGAACAGTTATTAAAAATATAATCACGATGTGTCAAGGGTTGGACAAATCACATCCTCTTTGGTGACGCCAAAGCACAAGTGTATGTACTGGAAGACCATGGAGCATAATAGAGTTGAATATGGGATTCGAACCCGGAATCAGCGCCATGATCCCGACCCAACTAAGTGAATTCCATTGACATGATCAAAGAGGGTCATAAGTTACGACATTTCAAATACAATGTCCAATGTAAAGATTCAAAAAGACTTAGCCACACTTCACCTTCCGGGAAAACCTAGTGGGTAGCAGGCGAGTTGATTTCATCGAGCGCATCCTTGATCAACAAAGGGACTCAACTCTACTTGTCCCATTTATATAATGAAGCACCACACTTACCTGTTGATTTGTAACACAAAACCCCAGCCGATGTCGCGGAGTTCCTGCAAGATCTGGACACAGTATCGTTCTTCACGCAGTCAACAATGGAAGCCTCGCTCCCTGTGCAGTTGACCTCAGAGTACCAAACCAGCTCGAATGAGCTATTCCGAGGGGTCCCGTAAGCTACACCCCCGGCATAGCCCGACTGTTTGCACAGAATATTGGCATCCACGTCACTCCAGCCTTCCTCGCAAATAGTTCCATTCAGGCCATACCGCTCAACGATCACACGACCATTGAAGCCATTGTGTATATGGTATTTGGTTCCTGAATCAGCAAAGTATATATCCGGTCAACGTATTTGTACAAAAATTAAACAAATTCGTGTATGTGGTCATATAATAGAGTTTAGGTAAAAAAAAAAACCCACCCCCCCCCACTCCTTATATTATGACAAAATGCCCCGTATAATAATATACAATTCCTTAATGACCTTTCGGTACCTAATCCTTTAACCGTTGTTAAAATATACTGATACTCATTAAATCAGCCTGTCACTGAATTAATGCTAGTTCCGATCCTCAGTCATTATGCATCGAGGTATTATATGAGAAGAACAATATGCAGCAAACGACAACACAAAGATTGTCACTGTCAATCACTGGATTCATTGGTTCGGGAACTATTATTTCCAGATCGCCAGAGTGCTGGAATATTATTGATTACGGCTTTATAAAACAACAACAACAACAACATAACCAAGATTGTCGACTTGCATTTTCAGACGTTTCAGCCCTAGCACCAATGTCTTGATTTACAGTATGGACAATGTGTTCACATTGTCTAAATGTCAGCCAATTCATGATGATGTACTAACATTAAATTACTGCTTTAAGTTGTATTTGCGAACATCACTAGGCAGTATAATGCAGGAGAAACTTTGAAAGGGACACGTGTGAGTGAATATGTTTTTTACGCCGCTTTTAGCAATATTCCAGCAATATGGACTTGAACTCGGGAACAATCTTCGTCGTGACAATCGAATGACTAGGCTTCCCCATTGCCACTAAAGCTGCCGATATTTTCATATTGGTGACTGGTTTGTTGTTTAAATAATACGTGATAATAATAATAAGTGAACCGATGTTTTTGTGTATTTTCATATTTCTATGTGATACTTCTGAATGACTATCAAACCTCCCAGTGTCAGACTCACCTGCTTGTTGTGAGTCCGAGAAGCAGATGACCTTCGCCTGACCAACACTGTACGGACACTGTCCCTTGGTGTATTTGCAGTTTGCCAGACTGCTCTCGTCACCATTGCACTCGACGTTGGTGATGTAGTTGGGGTTGTAGGTGGCCCGGAACGTCCTCAATATCTTCGACCTGGAGAAGCCCAGACTCGTACAGGCAACATCCGCATCTACCTGGTCGAAGGAGTCCGCACACACCATGTGCCATCGGCTTCCTATCAACATGCTGATCCTGCCCATCGCCATTGACTGATTCACTGACCCTCCCGTGACACGCACTGAAACATGGCGTGGATAGGCTATACCACTCAATATATCTTAAAGAACATCTGAGTCTGAGTGTTATAGTTAATCTTTCTCGATAATCATAATAGTAGTATATATTTATATAGCGCACATATCCAAGCTCAAGGCGCTGGTATTCTTTCCCTTGGACGTCAATCTCAACGGCACATAGTATTATCAATCTCAACACCCTGGGGATCATACAACTCTTGCAGCCACTAGGCGCACCGAGTTATTGCGGCTTTCTCATCCTTACGAGGTACCCATTCACAGCTGGGTGGACTGGGATGTTTACTGCACGTTGCTGTACCCGCAACTAGGTGTTTGCACGTATTCATGTGACCACCATCTGGTCATATACCAACGGATTCGTGGGTTCTTTTAAGAGCACAGGGTTGTGTACTGTACACTAGGGGGTTGTGTACTGTACACTAGAGGTTGTGACAAAACTGAAAGAGTCTGCACACAAAGTTGACTCCAAGGTTTTTACACCCGGTCACAGGTGGGCTCGATCCCGACACCTCAAGCTCGCTGGATCACTAGCCTGGCGCTTTAGCCAGCTCGCCCAGCTCGCCCACCGCGCCCCCAGATTAACTAGAGTAATGTGAGAGGTATTAGTAATATTCCAGCAATATCACGTCGAGGGACAGCAGAAATGGGTTTCACACATTGTGCCCATGTGGGGAATCGAACCCCACATCGGTGTAACGAGCTAACGCTTTAATCATTAGGCTACCCCATATCGCCCTAGTGAATAATGGATGAGTCTGATTTAATCCTGCTTTGAACAATATTTCAGTTACATCACGGTTTGTCTGCTTGATGTGGGAGAAAATCCCGAAGTATGCTGGTGTTAGATGTTTACCACTTTTGCAATATTCATCAGCACAGGTATTGCGCTGACAAATCTTGCAAAATAAAGAGACTGAATGTGGGATTCGAACCCACAAGATAGTTTTCTGGTGTGCACAATGGACAAAACTCTGCACAGCGCGGCGTTTTTGACGACTGGGGTACATACAGTGACCTTGAAACGGCAAAACAAGAGACTCTCGCGCAGCCAAATAAAGTAAACTATCAATCTAGATTAACATTCCACAGTCTCGGGATGAATGGCGTGTTCAAGGAAGTCAAAAGGATGAGAACCTGTTATATTGCTTACCGTCTCTGAAGCAGAAGGCGCCCGCATCCTGGACACACGGCTCGTCGTTGATGACGTTCTTCCAGCCGGAGTTGGTGCAGCGGAACAAAGACGGCTCGTTGCCGAAACATCGGAGCTGAGTCATGTACACCGATCCTCTGCCCTTGGGGTATCTAAAACAGGAGATAAACAATTATCTGTGAGTCAGCTGAATGAAACGAAGAAGCACATCACTGCGAGTAGGCTTCATGAGGGAGTGAATGAGTTTAGTTTTACGCCGCACTCAGCAATATTTCAGCCATATGGCGGCGGTCTGTAAATAATCGAGTCTGGACCAGACAATCCAGTGATCAACAGCATGAACATCGATCTGCGCAATTGGGAACCGATGACATGTGTCAACCAAGTCAGCTAGCCTGACCACCCGATCCCGTTAGTCGCCTCTTACGACAAGCATAGTCGCCTTTTGTGGCAAGCATGGGTTGCTGAAGACCTATTCTACCCCGGACCTTCACAAGTCGTAGGCTTCATGAGGGAGGAGAGCTACAGGTACAGGCTCTAGTTGTTTACGAGCACAATATGAACAGAAACACATTCAGCGGATCCTGGCACGAATAAGGGATATAAAAACCTGCAAATAATTCAGTATGGGCAGTGTACACCGTCGACTGGCTGTACGATGAATGTTTTTATTTTGATAATGCCACACTCAGCAATATCCCAGCTATATGGCGGCGGTCTGTAAATAATCGACTCTGGACCAGACAATCCAGTGATCTTCCAGCAATGAGATGGCATGTTCTGAAAACGGATTCACACAATATTCCCATGTGGGGAATCGAACTCGGGTCTTCCTGTGACAAGCTGACGTTGTAACCGCATGGCTACCCTACAGGCCCGTTGGTTGTGCGAAATCATTTTTTCACGTACGAAGACAAACAATCAGGATTCAGCATTGTAACCAACCAATCCACATTTTAATCGGCTTTAATGATTAACATGCTAGGGAAAACATTCAAACGCGTCTTTTCGACACAAATAAGGATCAAGTAACGATGTCGTGAGTTTTACTCACTTCAGAGCGACGCCGTCGTTGAAGCCGAGTTGCGAACATGCCACTGTGGCATCATTGTCGTCCCAGAGCTTGCCACAAATCCGCCCAGCCTCGCCGTTGATGATAACTTCGAGGCGGCCATGCTTACCTCCCTTTGGTGAGAACTGAAGCCTTGGAGCTGAGGTCAACAGATATTGCAATTAATTTCTAAACTAGTAACTGAAACGCTTTGGGGACCTCAAACCATACCTTTCCTTCAGGAAAAAGCCGACTCTACGAAAGGACTCGCGAACTCATTGCAAACTAAGGCTTATCCTGCATGATACGTCTGAGCGAAACATGTTGACCAATACGATATCTCTCCCTTTTAAGTCATTAGTATGAGCAATAATCCGCACTTCTTTAGTACAACACACAATCGCCATGTTTACTGGCTGTAGCCACCCAAACTTCGTTAATCTGTCATTTGAGTTTTGTTTTACGCCGCACTCAGCAATATTCCAGCTATATCACGGACAGGCGCGTAGCAAGCCAATTATTTCGCGTAAGCCCGATTCTTAGACTTGCATGGGCTGCATTGGGTATATTTGTTTCAGGGTCTGTATGACAGACTACTGGCGACCGTATACTTATGAATCTCCACACATCATCACGCACCTTCTCCACTGTAGCACAACACTCCACCAGCTTGAAGCGATGTGCAGAGTTCCTGTCCTTTAGGACAATCCTCCAGTTTGCTCTCGCTGCCAACACAGTTGATCTCGCTGATGAAGAACGGCCCTGGATAGTTTCCAGCATATCTGTAAGCTATTCCTCCCTTGTGACCGAGCTCCTTACACGTGACGTTGGCGTCATTGTCATCCCAGTATTTGTCGCACACGTAACCCCATGTTTGATGCTTGAATACTCGAAGTCTCCCAGAGGCCTGATCGGTTTCTATGTTCCCGCCCTCAAGCTTATACTCTTCGCCTGTGGGTTATATAAGATTCATGAATATTTTTTTAAAGCCGCAATCGGCGTGTGGGTATTTATTGTATAAATATATAACAATGGTGCTACATGAACCTCATATCACGGATCACTGTAACTTCGTTATAACAGGTATTCGAGAAAATGATGGCCAAAACCTTCATGAACACTTGTCCAGGTCGCCGGGAAAGATTTCCGCCCGTAACCCCCGCTTTGTTTTTAGCATTATATGTCTAAGAATAGATTGTTTATATAAAAAAACCCAACACTAACCCTAACCCCTCGAAATAATCCTAATTAATAGAATACAATTCAAGCGGGGGTTACGGGCGGAACTCTTACCGGTCGCCGTTTAGATGACTCTGAAAGAATATTAAATGCCCGCGTACGTGGATTGTCAAAGGGTCGACCCTGGACCAGACAAAAACAGTGATACAGGGAATTAGCAAAGTTTGACGTAATCGTAATTTATATAAATAAGAAACGTGGCTTATCTCCCTTTGATGAAGACGTAACTGGTAAATCTCGGAAGAGAGACAGCGTGACGGGAAACAATATTTGTTTTAAGGTTCTTGTTTAGTGGATCATGTTTACTTATTCATTGAATTATGGTAACGATGTCTGGAACTATGTTAAACATGCTTCAAAGTTACGTAGAATTTTAATTGAATCATATCCAATAAATCCAATATATCTCAAACATCTGCAACTTTCGGGTACCGATGCATTGAATCATGATGTAAATATGTCACGAACCATGTCAAGTACATCTCAGACATTCAACTCAGGCTGAATTATTTACTAAATCATGTTCAATATATCATGAAACTCTGATGTTTGTTAAACATGTGTTTAAAATTTGGGCCTAGATTTTCGAAGCTCTCTTAGCGCTAAGATAGTTGTAAGTGTCATACATTAACATTAACTTACGACTATCTTAGCACTAAGAGAGTTTCGAAAATCTAGGCCCTGAAATATAAGTTGAATTATTCATTGACGCATGTTCAACATATGACCCTTACACTTTGTGTACAATCATTCAAGTCCAAACTGGAAACACAATAAAAATATTACTTGAACGTGAATGAGACTCATACGTAGTTTTCGGGTTCAAGTTTGTTTTGACGGACTCTGTACCCCATTATCCAAATAATTATATACAACCTCAGGAAACAATCACGATGACAGAAACAGAACGTACCGAAAACAACAGTGTCATAACAAGCCACGGACGCATAGGAGATACTGTATGGCAGACAAGTAGCTGTCAACGATTTGTCATAATCACAGTCCAACAGCGACTTCTCGTTACTGCTACATGTGATGTTAGGTCGGACACTGTCCAGTCTCTGCCTGCCAAACACCCCCAATGGAAGAGCCTGACCGTTCTTGAAGCCGAGCTCTGAGCACACAACCTTGGCAGCGTTGTCATTAAAACCGGTTCTTCCGCAAACTGTGGCCCAGCGTCCTCGACTGTAGATCTGAACCACCCCCACGCTGTGTGTCCCGGGGGTTAGACGAACTGGAAGGGATGAAGTGTTATAAGGGGTCGAGTGAGTGAGTGATTAGGGTTTTATTCCGCTTTGTACAGTATTCCAGTCATACCACAGCTTGTCAGCTTTAACTGGGATGAAAGTCCAAAGTGATATAGGTCTCTAACTTTAGTTAACATATGAAGACAATTATGGTGCTTACAAATAAGGACAATAATCATGACGGATTTGAAATCCAAACCTCACATCGCAGGATTCTGAAATGCGCAAGGGACGCAACTCTGTCGAACTGAGACGTGTTGGTACACATATGTATGTACAAATATATCTGTACTAACATGATACAAAATCACTGAACTCGTAATTAAAGGAACATTTGTTTCAGCGGCCTGTATATGGTTTCCTGTATACATGCTTGTTGGTGTGTTTGTTGTTTAACGCCGCGCTCAGCAACATTCCAGCAAAATGGCGGTGGTCAGTAAATAATCGAGCCGTGACCAGACATTTCAGTGATCAACAGCACGAGCATCCATCCACGTAATTGGGATACGATGACATGTGTAAAGCAAGGCAGCGAGCCTGACCCCCCACCTGTTTGTAGCCTCTTATGACAAGCATGGGTTGCAGAAAACCAATTTTAACCCGGATCTTCACGTGTCACTCACGTATAAAGCAGTGGTTATCTGATCACCTGATTATACAATGTGCGCGTGAGTCATGGATTACTGAAACGAAGATGTCATAAAAATTCTTCTTCCGCCACGGTAAAACTTCAGAGGCCTTTTTTCATTCAGGAAAGAAAACTGAGCGACGGCTGCCAATTTGTGACACAAATTGTCAACTGGCTGCAAGGTGTATACAGATCGTTTGTACCGACAGCGACAATGGATTGTGTATACATGTCTGTTATCATTTACTTGTTATGGGCCCAGATTATGTAATCACTGACTGACTGACTCTCTCACGCGCGCACGCAAGCACGAACACACACACATTGTAAATACAGATTAGGACCCCACTGATTTTGGACATACCGTTCCTGTAGCATCGAACCCCAGCATCATTCTGATGGTCAGCGCACTGGTCACTGCTCTTCTCCCAGCCTTTGCTGTCACACTCGAACAAGGAATCATCCCCGAATCCACACGTGACGCTGCTCAGCCACACCGGCCCCGACCCTGGCTGAACATCAACGTTCATGGCCCGGCCATCTGTATATCCCACCATCTGACACACCACGGAGGATTCCTCGTCAGACCAGCCGTCGTTGCAGATGGTGCCGTTGACACCGTCGTAGGAGATGTCCACTCTGCCGTAGCCGGCTGTAGGGTTGTCAAGGCTAACAGTCACATCTGGATAGGTAATAAGAAGGTTATCATGTACACATTCGCCAGGAATTGTATTGATTGATTGATTGTTGTTTAACGCCGCACTCAGCAATATTCCAGCTATATTGCGGCGGTCTGTAAATAATCGACACTGGTCAAGGCAATCCAGTGATGAACATGGTGAGCATCGATCTACACAATTGGGATACGATGGCATGTGTCAACCAAATCAGCGGGCCTGAACACCCGATCCCGTTAGTCGCCTCTTACGACTAACATGCATGGGTTGCTGAAGATCAATTCTAACCCGGATCATCATGGATCGCCAGCAATTGTAATGTTTCAGATTTCAGTACAAACGAGAATTACTTTGAAATCATCAATATGTAGTAGAGCACAGCGAATGAATAATGAGTGAGTGAGTGTGGTTTGACGCCAAAACATTTGATGCTGGGGAATTTGGTTGATACTCACTGGTGTTGTAGCAGAGGACGTGAGCGGGGGTGCAGGTGTACACTGACTCTCCCCACTCTCCCGTATCGCAGTCAAGGACGTTGGTCTCGTTGCCCACACATGTGATGTCGGTCAGCCAGGGAGGAAGGTTGTCGCGTGAGGTGTCCCCGAAGGCCTTGCCCCCTTTGTAGCCAATCATCCTACACACCACGCTGGCCTCTCGGTCACTCCATTGGTCGGAACAAACCTGGCCCCACAGACCAAGATGATATATTTCCACCCTACCCCAGTTGTCTCCCCATCCGATAGTCGGACCTCGGTAGCTGGAACATATATGACACAATTCAAACCTGTGTTACATGCGTTTCTAAGACACTTTCTATCAACTGATGAAAGACAACAAACAAAACCGAATAACCATCTTATGACCCTTTTGACATCTCATCTCTACGACAACTAACATCCCATCACCGTCTCAACCAATACTTACAGTTATCAACTTCATCGATGGTGGTGTTGTAGCAGATGACAGACGCAGACGACAGGGTTGAACATCCTCTCCCCGACCTGACCATGGGACAGTCGGCCAGACGGGTCTCCGAGCCCGTGCAGTTGACACTGCTGTAGGAACTGACGGTCCTCCCCGTGCTCCAGGGGTGTTTGCCCCATGGGCTCCCCCACATGTTGCCGGCCAGAGCTGACCCGTGAAGCGCCATGCCGTCCACGAAGCCGAGTTCGCGGCACGTGACCTTAGCGTCGTCTTCTGTCCATCCTTTATCGCACACCTCCATCCACCCTTCTCCAGCCTTCCATAGTTCAACGGCACCTACGTTTCGGATGGTCAAGCTTTTGGACCTTAGTCGAACTGCAATGAAAATAATCAGGTCGTTAACCTCCTCGAAACTACACTACTCCAACAGTAAGTGAGTTAGTGAGTGTGGTTTTACGCCGCTTTTAGCAACATCCCACCAACATCACGGCAGGGGACACCAGAAATGGGCTTCACACATTGTAACCATGTGGGGAATCGAAAACGAGTCTTGGGGGTGACAAGCTAACGCTTGAACTGCTGGGCTCCTTTATCACCACCACCCCGTAGAAGGAATGAGCGAGCGAGTGAGTGAGTTGACGTGAAAGGTTTAATGTCGCTTTTAGTCATTTTCGACCGATATCACGGCGGGGTAAATATGAGCACTTGACCAAGTGGGGAATAAAACCCCATGTTGGTTGTCACAAACGAACGCTTTATCCTATTGCCTACGACACTGCCTTTACAATGCCTTAGCCAACGTATATAACTGACCAGTATATATATTAGAGCCTGTCCAAGTGGTTGAAAACATGAACACATTAAGGATGACTGTTTGTCCTCAGTGGCCCACTGGACATTATAACCGAAACACAGGCAAAAGCAGGAGGTGGGGAATAAAGTCCATATTTTTGAGAATCGTTGTCATGTCATTTTGTCATGTAGTGTTGCCGTCTTATGTTGTCGTGCAAAGTTGCCGTGTAATGTTGTTGTGTAAAGTTGCCGTCTTATGCTGTCGTGTAAAGTTGCCGTGTAAAGTTGTCCTGGAATGTTGCCGTCTTATTTTGTCGTGTACAGTTGTCCTGGAATGTTGCCGTCTTATGTTGCCGTGTTATGTTGTCGTGGAAAGTTGCCCTGTAATGTTGTCGTGCAAAGATATTCTGTAATGTTGCCGTCTTAAGTTGTCGTGTAAAGCTGCCCTGTAATGTTACCCTGTAATGTTGTCATGTAAAGTTGTCCTGTAATGTTGCTGTCTTCTGTTGTCGTGTTATGTTGTCATGTAAAGTTGCCCTGTAATGTTCACGTCTTATGTTGCCGTGTTATTTTGTCGTGTAAAATTGTCCTGTAATGTTGCCATCTTATGTTGCCGTGTTATGTTCTCGTGGAAAGTTGCCCTGTAATGTTGTCGTGCAAAGATATTCTGTAATGCTGCCGTGTTATGTTGTCGTGTATAGCTGCCCTGTAATGTTACCCTGTAATGTTGCCATGTAAAGTTGCCCTGTAATGTTGCAGTCTTATGTTGTCGTGTAAAGCTGCCCTGTAATGTTACCCTGTAATGTTGCTGTGTAAAGTTGTCCTGTAATGGTGCCGTCTTATGTTGTTGTGTAAAGCTGTCCTGTAATGTTGCCGTCTTATGCTGTCGTGCAAAGTTGCCGTGCAAAGTTGTCCTGGAATGTTGCCGTCTTATGTTGTCCTGTACAGTTGTCCTGGAATGTTGCCGTCTTATGTTGTCGTGTACAGTTGTCCTGTAATGTTGCCGTCTTATGTTGTCGTGTAAAGTTGTCCTGTAATGTTGCCATCTTATGTTGTTGTGTTATGTTGTCGTGTACAGTTGTCCTGTAATGTTGCCATCTTATGTTGTCGGGTAAAGTTGTCCTGTAATGTTGCTGTCTTCTGTTGTCGTGTTATGTTGTGATGTAAAGTTGTCCTGTAATGTTGCTGTCTTATGTTGTTGTGTTATGTTGTGATGTAAAGTTGCCCTGTAATGTTCACGTCTTATGTTGCCGTCTTATGTTGTCGTGTAAAGTTGTCCTGTAATGTTGCCATCTTATGTTGCCGTGTTATGTTGTCGTGTACAGTTGTCCTGTAATGTTGCCTGTAGTCTTATGTTGTCGTGTAAAGTTGTCCTGTAAAGTTGTCCTGTAATGTTGCCGTCTTATGTTGTCGTGTAAAGTTGTCCTGTAATGTTGCCGTCTTATGTTGTCGTGTAAAGTTGTCCTGTAATGTTGCCGTCTTATGTTGTCGTGTAAAGTTGTCCTGTAATGTTGCCATCTTATGTTGTTGTGTTATGTTGTCCTGTACAGTTGTCCTGGAATGTTGCCGTCTTATGTTGTCGTGTACAGTTGTCCTGGAATGTTGCCGTCTTATGTTGTCGGGTAAAGTTGTCCTGTAATGTTGCCATCTTATGTTGTTGTGTTATGTTGTCGTGTACAGTTGTCCTGTAATGTTGCCATCTTATGTTGTCGGGTAAAGTTGTCCTGTAATGTTGCTGTCTTCTGTTGTCGTGTTATGTTGTGATGTAAAGTTGCCCTGTAATGTTCATGTCTTATGTTGCCGTGTTATTTTGTCGTGTAAAATTGTCCTGTAATGTTGCCGTGTTATGTTGTCGTGTATAGCTGCCCTGTAATGTTACCCTGTAATGTTGTCGGGTAAAGTTGTCCTGTAATGTTGCCGTCTTATGTTGCCGTGTTATGTTGCAATGTAAAGTTGCCCTGTAATGTTGCCGTCTTATGTTTGTGCAAACTGCCTGTAAAGTTGCCCTGTATTGTTGCGTCTTATGTTGTGTAAAGCTGTCCTGTAATGTTGTCTTATGTTGTCGTGCAAAGTTGCCGTTGAATGTTGCCCTTATGTTGTAATCCTGTAATGTTGCCGTCTTATGTTGTCATGTAAAGCTGTCCCGTGCAAAGTTGTGTGTAAAGTTGTCCTGGAATGTTGCCGTCTTATGTTGTCGTGTGTAAAGTTGTCCTGTAATGTAGCCTGTAATGTTGCTGTGTTATGTTGTCCTGTAAAGTGTGTAATGTTGTTGCCATCTCATGTTGCCGTGTTATGTTGTCGTGTAAAGTTGTCCTGTAATGTTGCCGTCTTATGTTGTTATAAAGGTGCCCTGTAATGTATCCTGTAATGTTGCTCTGTAGAGTTGTCCCTGTAATTATGTTGCTGTAATGTTGTTGTCGAGTAAAGTTGTCCTGTAATGTTGTCGTGTAAAGTTGTCCTGTAATGTAGCCGTGTTATGGTGCCGTGTAATGTTTTCCTGTAATGTTTTCCTGCGTTGTCGTGTAAAGTTGTCCTGTAATGTTGCCATCTTATGTTGTCGTGTAAAGTTGTCCTGTAATGTTACCCTGTAATGTTGTCGTGTAATGTTACCCTGTAATGTTGTCGTGTATAGCTGCCCTGTAATGTTACCCTGTAATGTTGTCGTGTAAAGCTGCCCTGTAATGTTACCCTGTAATGTTGTCGTGTAAAGCTGCCCTGTAATGTTACCCTGTAATGTTGTCGTGTAAAGCTGCCCTGTAATGTTACCCTGTAATGTTGTCGTGTATTGTTACCCGGTCATGTCGTGTATAGCTGCCCTGTAATGTTACCCTGTAAGGTTGTCGTGTAAAGCTGTCCTCTAATAGTGTCCTGTACCTGTAGTGTTGAAACAGACCACGCCCACATCCTCCTCCCTCCCACAGTCATGTGTCCTCCAACTGTTGTGACGACATTGCAGCAGGGACGTCTCTCCTCCACGGCAGTTGACCTCATCCATGTAAGTCCTCTCACCATTCCGAAACCCCTCCTCCGTCAGTCGCTGAAACAGACATGGAGGAGTTAGCTGGGAATGTACATACACACTGTAGCTTTGGCTTCAGACATCATACACTAGCCATCACTATAATAACATTAATAATCGTATCATATTCCGCGAAGAATCCTGTTTTGAATAGCTCACCTGTCCGTATGAGTAGCCGAAGTATTTACACGAGATGCCAGCAGCGTTCTCGTTGAACAGGTCGTCGCAGACGCTGCCCCACTTCATGTTGCCCAGAGCCACCTCCAGCCGCCCCCATATGGTGTTGAGGGTCGTGGCTGTGGACCCTTCTGTCAGCTGCATCTTGAACACTGAAATGATGGCATCAGTGATGGTCGCAGTGAAAACATGTTTCATTTGTTGTCAAAAGTTGCACAATGTTTTAACTATAAAACGGCGTTTTTAAGTAATCGAGTCTGAACCAGATTGTGAACCATGAACTTCGATCTATGCAATTTGCGAACGATGACATCAGTATTTTCCCTCATCTCTTCTAACGAACACGGGTGAATCTTCATGATTGATGACAAAGTTTCTGAGCTAAAAACGCCAGATAACATGACTACACGTGGTACAAGAATGGTTTACCTTTCTGTAAACTCCTTAAAATCAGATATATTACTGCTAAGATTTCATGACGCATAAACTGAATTTCGATCTTACTAAAAAGACACGTCAAAGAAAACAAAAATACCATAATCAATAAAACATCCGTTTTCAAGTAGATACCGCAGCGCTCAGAAACGACCGGATGTCTGCTACCAACAACAGCACTGTACCGCAGTTTTAGGGTATTGCCACTCAAATTTCCCCGGTTAACTTCACACAGCAATCAGATATGTTGATCCGATTTCACCTCACCGACTATTTAAGGCCTCTTCACTTACTAGAACGTTCACTTGAAATAACATCCTATGGAGATTCTTGAGATCTTTACACAGGGAGGAACAGAGTTAGGAGTAAAAACATGTAATTTTAATGAGATTGACATTCTGTACCCGTTTTAGCAATCAAACCTGACTCTGTGGTATGTTCAGGTCTTAACCACTTTAACCAAAGGTCTAGAGCCCATGAAGGCAGAGTAACACTACGCGTATGCAATTGTTCTCTGGCATATTTTCGAAAGAAGGTTTTAAACAATCATACGATATGAGCATACTTCAAATTATTACCTAACACATCAAATGTCTATCTTAAGCGTGTTCAGTAATCAGACATTTGAACCATCCGATACACATTTTGTGACAGAAGAAACACTAGCTCTAACTCGTCATCCCAAAAAGAGGTTTTATGGGTTGTTTGTTTCTTTCTTGTTTTACGCCGCACTCAGCAATATTCCAGCTATATGGCGGCGGTCTGTAAATAATCGAGTCTGAACCAGACATCCAGTGATCAACAGCATGAGCATCGATCTACGCAATTGGGATACGATGACATGTGTCAACCAAGTCAGCGAGTCTGACCACCCGATCCTGTTAGTCGCCTCTTACGACAAGCATGGTTTACTGAAGATTAATTCTAGCCTGGGTCTTCACGGGTCCATGAAAGAAGGCATAACATGCGAAAGTCTGAAAAGTAAACAGTGTAATATTCATTGTCAGTATGCAGCGATTGAATGCTGTGTGACAAGTTACTGTTCCTGTCTGCGCCGTCCATACCTCCGTCGGTGCTGTTGTAACAGTATACGCCAACATCTTCAGTGTGGTCGCAGTCGTGGTCCTTCCACTTGCTCTTCCTGCACTGAGAGAGATCTGTCTCAAAGCCCTGACATTCCACGTCGTCGAGGAACACTGCGCCCGAGCCGCTGCCGAAGTACGCTTTGGCAATCGCCTGCAAGGAGGAAAGGACGAACGGGTGAGTGTGGTTTTACGCCGTTTCTAGCAATATTCTGGCATGGATCACTGAGTAGCTATGACGTAGTTCAAGTGAGCAGTGAGGTAAAGGAGGCTGAAAGTCGCAGTCGTGAATATTGCATTTCATAAACGTGACATATGCATATGCGTGAGTAAGTGAGTATGATTTTATTCCGCTTCCAGCAATATCAGGGCGTGGAATACAAGAAATGGCCTTCACATATCAAAACCATTTGGAGAATCAAAGTCTGTTTTTCAGCGTGACTTGGCACAGTGTTAACCCCTTGGTTACCCAACCGCCTCGCATGTACGTGTGTGTGGCTGCACGTGTTTGGTGTTATGGGTGAGTGAGGGAGTATGGATTTACGCCGCTTTTAGCAATATTCCAGCAATATCACGGCGGGGGACACCAGAAATGGGCTCAACGCATTGTACCCATGTGGGGAATCGAGCTCGGGTCTTCGGCGTGATAAGTCAACGCTTTAACCACTGGGCTACCCCACCGCCCATTGGTGTTATCGAGCTAACGGAGATGGAAATATAATATTTTAACGTCATTTGGTATCGCGTAGATGTGTCACGGCGTTTCAGCTTACTTAAGGAAGTAAGGCGAAAGTGATGCAATTTTCAGTCATTTACCATTGTGATGCACGGATATGATGCTAACAGACAATCCTAGAAACATAATTGGGGTTCGAACCAACGTTTTCTGGTGAGGACAAGGTCATTTGTGTGGCCAAGGGACGTAAGTCTGTACAGCGAACTGCGGTCACATAGCTTGAAGGGGACGTTGCTGTCTACAGAAATGAATCCGAGGCAAAATCAGAATACAAAAGCTTTTTGTTTGGGGTACATTTCTATATACAGAAACGTACCTGGGGTACATATCTCTAGTACCCATGCAGCCAACTACCCCTTCAGATTCATTTAGGGGGCCGGATCTCCCGTACCGCAAAAAGGCATTGGCAGACGTCAACGGTTCAACGAGTTTTCCACGTCCCGATGAAAATACGTTGACTGATATACGCTCAATGGGGCTCGGAAGGACACAAAACAGTGTCATCATGGTCCAGTGGAGGGAATCGGAGTGGCAGTATGACTTAAAATAAGTTTAAAGAAAGATAACTTGTCCTGGGACAAGCTACTTTAGCACTTACGACTGTCGTATGTATGTGTTTAAGGCACAATGTCAGACCACATTTCTCTAAAAATACATAATGCATTTCTCTCAATAATAACATTATCAGCCCTCAGGGACTGACTGACTGAGTTTGGTTTTACGCCGCTTTTAGCAATATTCCAGCAACATCACGGCGGGGGACACCAGAAATGGGCTTCAGCCCTCAGGGAAGCTACCATATAATTTATTCTCAAAATAATTAGTATTTAGGTTACAATATTGAATTAAAAAGTTCGCATGAATTAATGCAACGTTGCATTAAATGGACTCTCGCGCTCTCTATCGGCCGGACATTATTTCAAGCGAACCCCATAGAGTTATGTCCCTTGGGGCGCCTTTTACGAATATCCTATAACCTAGACTAATGCTTAGTCTCTGAATATATATAATTTTTAAAGTAACCAACAAACCCATATAAACTAAAAGGAGCCCCAGGGAGACCAGAGATTCAAAACCTGAGGAAATCTAGACTTACTTTATTTAGGGTTTTAGCACTGCAGAGAGGGCTTGGCAGTAGGGAAAATAATGTGGTTCAGGGACTGTGAGGCAGGCTACCTATAACCTAAGCTGGTTCCCGGCTCCCTTTGCTCGCGCTAACGTTCGCCAAAGCTATATTGCGATATGCGAGACGGGGCCCAGCTTACCTATAACCCAACTTGTGGTCAGTTCGGCAAACATCGACAACACCGCGTGCGACATTTTTCGATGTGCGGAGCAATCGTTTACAGCATGTCTATCTGTTTCGAAGCTGTTCACCTCGAAATTTCAACTATCGATTTCAGGCAAGTCGTAAGGGATAATAAGTATTTTATTGTATCAACAGAAGCTGAAGTGAGTGCATGTGCCCCAATATATATAATATAGGTCAAAATATTGTCGAAAATGTGTGATATTGTGCCTTTAAGGTATGGAATTTAAGATCGTCTTATTTATAGTGCTGAGTTCGCTTTGTGTGACGGGACCCAGGTCAAGAAGATGGACGCGTGTTGGACGTGTGTATACCAACCTCTCCATCGGTGAAACCGAAGCTACGACACACTACAATGGCAGCACTTTTGTTGAAGAAGTCGTCACATATCGTCCCCCATGTTGTTCCGCCGTCGTTGGAGACCTCTACTCTCCCCGATCTGTATGCGGTTGCGTTCTCGCCGTTCACGATTCGGGTCTGCAAACCTAGGAAATACAATGATACAACTTAACATTTATATACTGTAAATAACGAACATATTAAATGTGTACTCTTACGGAGAAATATGAATATATACTATGTGATGACCTCTGTTTCCATTTGTGCAGCAATATACAGAGATACTGGAGGCAGTAATTAACGCCTTGCTATTCATTCTCTATCCAGTGGAAGATTGTCTTGCAAGATGTAAAATCGGATCGTATTGATACGGTCTAACATCCATTTCAGAAATGACATCAGGAACATCTTTTACTGCTTCAGAATCCACGGACACTGTTAAGTTGTGAGGTAAAATCAAAGAAGAAGCCATCAGCAACAGGCACATAAGACATCATGTCACGTGATAGCCCCTCTGCTCATTAACTGTTGGGTGTTTCCGTAATTGGCGGAAATACGAGTACGTTTTTGTGTTTTTATTGCTATTTTACAAACTTTTTGTTCAATTTTAATCACGGAATGTGACTTTTAGAATATCCTTTACAATATATCAAAAGTTTTGTTTTCGTTCGTATTCTCCTTTAAGTTGTTAGGTATGGAACCGAGGGTATGTACATTTCAACATGCAAAGCGTTATTTGTTTGTTGTTTCACGCCGCACATAGCAGAACTCCAGCTATATGACGGCGGTTTGTACTTAACCGAATCTGAACCAGATAATCCGGTGATTGATGTCATGAGCATCGATCTACACTATCGATTTAAACATACATGCACATGTCGCTGTCAGCTGATCACTCCCGTTGTCCCTCCGGGGAGATTCGATGATCTGTATATAATTCAAAACTTGCTTTACAATGAAGCGTCGTCGCGCATACGAGTATCAGAAGCGTCACATTGAAAAACCTTGTTTATTAACATCACATCTATACTTTGTCATTTGGACAACTAGGGCCTTTTCTACCGCATAAAGATGACTTTTAAGCTGCGTAGCGGTGGGGTAGCCTAGTGGTTAAGGCGTTTGCTCGTCACGCTGAAGACCCGGGTTCGATTCCCCACATGGGCACAATGTGTGAAGCTCATTTCCGGTGTCCCCCGCCGTGATATTGCTGGAATATTGCTAAAAGCGGCGTAAAACCAAACTTTCTCACTCACTACTACTTTAAGCTGCGTAAAACCAAACTCACTGACCAAATAATATGATGTGTACAATACTGGCGTTACAGCCAACTCTTAATTAATGGAAAACTGCTGTTGTTATTAGTTGTTATTGATAAAACCATACAGCTTTAAGGGTGTAATTGGAAATCAAGGCTTATTCAATTCAATTAAGGCTTATGATTATGGAGTGAGTGAGTGAGTTAGTTAGTTTGGTGTAATACCGCTTGAAACATTATTCCAGTTACACCATGGCGTGTAAAATTGTTTTGGGAGGAAATCCGGAAGTGAAGAATGTGTTATACGTTTTCCACATTTCATATTACTTCCTTTAAGTGGGTAAACAAGCTAAGGCGGGATGGGAGGATTTATGATGGGAGGATTGATCGATCTCATACTAAACTTTACGTGAAGGAGGGAACACCTTGGACAATATCCTGATAAGCAAACGAGGCTTTAGGCGTTCAGAACTTTAGGAAATGGTGGATATGTATCAAACCAAACTGAGGTCACGAACCAATCACGAAGTCAAAACATCATCCAGAGGATCAAGTGAGTGAGAGAGTATGGTTTTACGCCGTTTCTAAACAATATACCAGCAATACACGGCTGTGGACACCAGAAATGGGCTTCACACATGTGGTTAATCGAACCCGGGTCTTCGGCGTGACGAGCAAACGCTTTAACCACAAGACTACAACGCCGCCCCCAATCACGAAGTCAAACCATCACTCAGAGGATCAAGACTTAAGATGCCCCTATGCTGTGAGTTGCCGTACATTTGACTGTACACGTGACACAGAAACCCTCGTCTTGGAGTGAGTGAGTGAGTTTTGATTGACGCCGCACTCAGCAATATCCCAGCTATATTGCGGCGGTCAGTAAATAATCGATCTTCACCAGACAATCCAGTTATCAACAGCATGAGCATCGATCTACGCAATTGAGATACGATGACATGTGTCAAGTCAGCAAACCTTGGCCGCCCGATCCCGTTAGTCGCCAGTTACGACAGGCATGGGTTACTGAAGTTCAGTTCTAACCCGGATCTTCACGGGTCCGTCATCCCGGAACACCAGTAGTACCAGAATGTACCACTTTCGTTTTTTGTCTTAAAACATTCAAAGCCTTTTCCGGGTACTCGTTCCTATTCCCAGACATTACCATAGATGATGAAAACATTTTTGTGTTTACAGATGAATGTATTCAACAAGACCCGTACCATCGTTCACTCGACACCAATTTAAACGAATCACTTTAATTGAATTTATTCACCGAACTAGAGGAGCCGGAGGGAAGATGCATGGGCTCTATGTTAATGCATTGATATTTCGTTAGATAAACACAAAATGAAATTTGTGTCATGATGCTTATAAACATACACTCACTCATTCATTTACAACCTCCAAGACATGAATTCTGAGCGAAACTAAACCATGGGCGAGCGAGAATATATTTAATTTTTTCGAAATTTTGTTTTTTTCATTTTTTCATCCTTGTCTCTCTATAATCGTTTCTGTTTCAAATGCGTAAAATCCGCATTTTGGTAATTTTAAAGTATGCAACATATCGAATATCTCACTAGAAAGGCATGCTAAAATCTTTGTGAATGTTGCCCTTTAATGAGTGAGTTTGGTTTTACGCCGCTTTTAGCAATATTCCAGCAATATTACGGCGGGGAACACCAGAAATGGACTTAACACATTGTACCCATGTGGGAATCAAACCCGGGTCTTCGGCATGACGAACGAACGCCTTAACCACTAGGCTACCCCACCACCCGCCCTTTTATGAAAATATATAAATAAAATATATAAATATACGAAATGACAATGCAGCTATTGTATCTGAAAACACGAAGCGTAAATACGCATTTTATATGTTATACCCGTCGTGCGCAACGGTGATCCGGTTTGCAGGTTATGGTCTTGTTGAAGATTGAAATTATTTTTATCTGGAAATCCAACAAAGGTAACACCCAGACACAAACAACATGAATCCCACAACGTCCCTTTGTTCCCATAAGAGTGACTGTGCAGTTTCTCCAAAGAAAATAAGTAATATCTATTCCCCTCGGACATCTAACAGACCGTGACCCAAGGTGAAAAGGGCATCTTCGATGGTGAGATAAACTCATAACATTATCTCATTCTCAAGCCACTCTCATTGTGATACTTGCCACTTTTCCCCGGGCAGGAGAGGGTGTTGACACCATTTGGACGCGTCTTCCCCTACCACTTCTGTGTGAGGGTTATATTTACGGAGCGGTAACACCCCTTTAATTGAGGGGTCCGAAGACGAAATGTCCCGAAATGGTCGTTACCGTTATCCGTATAATCGTGGACCCACGACAACTCCTAGGTGACACTGCATCTGGTCAGTTAATGTACTGTTGAGTGAAACAGGTTCTTTAGAAGGACATTTTAGGCTTTATCTAAAAGACCGAGGCTTGTAGTATGGCCTATGTGCAGCTAATACCTATTGACAACTTTCTGGACATAATTCTCTTTTGCATCATAGAACTTTCCTAAATTGCTTTCTTGCACGGGTGAATATCAACAGGTAACAATAGCTTTGTCAATAATTGCGCACTTACACGAGATGTAAGTGAAAGGAATTTGTCAGTGCCATTCTTATTTCCTTGTTAATGCATACTTTATCAAAATAAAGAATGAATGAGTTGGGTTTCGTCCCTTTGACCATTATTCCAGCAATGGCGTATTACGTGTCAGCTTAACGTGATTTATAGTCTGTTTGCAGTGAAAACGTACCGATGCATTTCTCTTTAAACAAAAAGGTAAATCAAATACAGTGAAATTTAGATGGCGAATCCTCATAATTTTACCATGCCAACTGAACATTTAAATCTCAGAATTTTATTCAACTTAGGATAAAAGTTGTTTTACAAACGATCATAGATTCAAATCGCTATTATTGGTTTGTATTACAAGGGGGTAAGCGCAGTAGTTGGAACAGTTAAACTAATGCACGTGCGGTACGTGATCATGGTGTTGACCAACCCTTCTTGTTCTCGGTGTTTCATTTAATGTGCGTACCCCCTTGTAATACAAACCAATAATAGCGATTTGAAACTATGATCGTTTGTTAAACAACTTTTATCCTAAGTTGAATTCCAATATTTAAATGTTCAATTGGCCAGGTAAAATTATGAGGAATCGCAATGTTAATTTCACTTTATTCAATGTACTTTTTTGTTTAAAGTGAAATTCATGGTACGTTTTCACTGCAAACAGACTATAGGTTACAGAAGATTGGCGCTTTGATGAAACACGCAGTCAAGGGTACGCCGCACTCAGCAATGTTCCAGCCATGTGGTGGGTCTAGAATATGGTGCTGACAAACCTACTAACATAATCAGAGTGAACGGAGATTCGAACCCACAATCTGTAATGTAAGGCGTTGCTAAGTGACGTAACTCTGCACAGCGAATGGAGGCTTCTTAAACGACTGGCCGATGTTTGACAAAATATACGTTATTTGGTTTACAATGTCAGTGTGAAATACGTAAATCGCAAAATACAGAAACCGAGATGTGTTTGAGGAACTAACTGATCTAATGACCTAAACCCTCGAGCACGGGTATCGTACTGACAAACTTAATCTAAGCAAAACGGGAGTCGAACCCACAATCAGGTTCCTGGCGTACCCAAGGGACGCAACTCTAAACGGTGAATGGTGACACCGTAAGCGACCAGGGTGCCGTTGTACAAAGCGATCTTAGTGCTAAGGTGACCGTAACTCCCATACCTTAACATAGATTTAAGGTAGTCTTAGCGCTAAGGTTGTTTTGAACAACGGCACCCTGGCCTCCCGTGCCCCACAAACAAGAAGACGTTGAAAGATGTTCCCGATAAGATTGTATGACAACA